TCTTGGTTGTATCCACCGAGTGCTCCGGTTGCGCTTGTTCGAATGGTCCTGCATGTCGAATCGAGGCCAGTGACACTGTGTTTGCCATGTTATTCGCGCATACTGTACCATGCCACTTCATGACCATTCACCTCGAACACGCTCCTGTATTTTGAAGCTGAGCAAGCACATTCGATCAAGCAGTCGTGGGACATGGAGCTAGTCGCAGAGGTAGCATTCGTCGGTGGAAACGTGATGTGCAAACTCCCCGATGCTCTCTTCGTTTGAATGGGTGAACCCCAGACACACAGAATTGCAACCGAGCGATGGCGAGTCTCTTTCTATGCAGGACACCAGGCAGAGACACGAGGATTTGCCATGAAGGTACAAAATGTCGACCGTCCGTCACTCTTCGTCGTCATGTTTGCTTTCATCCATCTCACGTTGTTGCATGGTCAGTATGTGCAAAATTTCCGCAGTGGACGGCCGGTCCGCAGGATTTTCAGCCATGCAGCGCAGCGCGAGAAACTTGTACCAAATGGGGCAGTCGGGGGAGAAGGTCGGCCTCAAGTTTTCGTGGAGGACTCTTCGAAGGACGTGCGACTCGAACGGGTGCTTCGTGGCGGATCCGCCAGTCGACATGAAGAGATTCGCATACGGCGTTTGGTGGGTTTCGATTTCAGACATGACGACGCCAAACGCGTACACGTCGACGGAATTGGTGTACGGCTGGAATGCCAACATCTCGGGGGCCATCCATCGATACGTCCCGACATTGGCGGTGTGCGTGCTGTCGTCGACATCGCGCACGGTCCCAAAGTCGGCCACTTTCAAACTGGATACGTCCGTGCTGAGGAGGAGATTGCGAGACTTGAGGTCGCGGTGCATGTGCTGCATGGAATGGAGGTAGAAAAGCCCTTCAGCGACGCTCTTAGTCCAGTGCAGCCTCGTTGACCATGCCACTTGGTCGCGCCGGGTCTGGCAAAGGTACGAATGCAAATCCCCGCCACCCATGAGCTCAAAGACGGCGTGGAGGTCGCTGGGACATGTCCACGTCGCCCCAATGAGTTTGACAATGTGCGGCGACTCGATCGACGACAGGAGGTTAAGTTCGCGAATGAAGCGCTGGACAGACGTGGCGGTGTACACGTGGAGTTCCTTGATCGCGACCGGCGTGGAGATTTGAAACGTGCCGCTGTAGACGACTCCCGACGCTCCAGACGCTACAAATCGCTCGCGAACGACCTGGCACGAATCCAATCGAATAAGAGCCAAGTCCCCCCAATCCATGTCTTGCGATGGAATCGACGAACGAGGCCGCGCCGATGGCAGGTGAGATCTGGTCGACCCAGCAAGGCGCGTCGTCGTGTCGTTCTTGGCGACTCGAACACGGGCCATCCATCGATACACCACGAACGTGAGGAAAGCGGCACCCACAACAGCGCCCACGGCACTCCACATAGTTTTCCCGGACGCCAGCTCCAACACGACCGGCGAGGATGTCGTCGCGCGCACGATCATGGAGCCCTTCAGCTGCATGATGGCGGTCGTAGTCGCGTTATACGTAGTCGCTGCGCCCGAGTAGTTTACGTCTGCATATACAGTGACAAAGACGGTAGGCGAGAGTGTCAAGGGGGAGCAGCCCGCAGTGCTGGCAAACACGGCCATGTCCGGAATCGTGTCGCCCGCTTGGATGTACAAGTCGACCTTGGACGAGTTGATGTTGGCAGCACACACAGCGTAGTCGGTCTGGTTGGCCTCTGTTGCTGCGGCCGATGCGTTCATGACCTTGAAAGATCGCATGAGGAAGCGAGTCGCGTCTTCAGGCATGCTGGGGTTGGACCTGTTCCAGAAGCGGCGCTCGCCTTGGAAGTTGGTCTCGTTGTACTGAATGAGCACGACGCCTGGATCTAGGGAAATGGACCGAGGCATGATATCCACGAGGTCGAACGGCCAGTCCTCCAGGGATGGCACGCCGCCTTCGGCAACCGACTCTTCCAGTGACAGTATGTCGTAATTTGCCTTGGCGTAGAAGCGCACGTATGCCGACGCGTTGTTGACGGTCGATGAAAGCGCCGTGGTGGGCTGTGGAGGAAGCGGCGATGTCGCTGGCAGCACCATGACAGACCGAATGCGATTGTTCCAAGCATACAGCGTCACTGACGTTCCATTGTAGACGCGGTAAGGGCCAAGAAAGTACCGACGTTTGTATCCGACGAGGACAGCGCCGGGTGGGATGTGCAGACTGCTCACGCTCATGTCCATTTCGCCATGGATCCATGGCAGCCTCGTGCCTACAGGCACGACGAACGGCGCGAATGACGTGTCACCAGTGTCCACAAGGATATGCGCTTGGTCAGCACGGTCGATGACGGCGAAGGACTTGACTTTGAAGCGGGGATTGGGTATGGATGGCGACGTGGAGTCCACTCGATATGGAACGCCGTCGAAGTTTGAGGCGGGGAAAGTGATGACTGCCACGTTCTTTGGCACCCGCCAAGACTTGAACGTACATGATTGCGGCCAATCTGTCGTGTCGGTGATATTGAGCATTGCTGGCAGGAGCACCGGCGAGCCCGAGAAGTTCGCCGCGGAGAAGCACTCGATGGCGGCCATGGCGTCGTCCGTCGGTGGCGACAGCAACTTTTACATCCTGTTGAGAAGCGATGCCGTCAAAATATCTTCAATCGGCATCGAAATATTTTCCCGGAGGGAAAAATTGAGGTTTTTTTCGCATTTATGTCACCAATAGTAAATTGTACACTTCATAAAAGGGAAATGCGGTTTTACACTGCTCAAAATATTCTGGTTGTGTACGCATGAACCTTGGATGCTGCTCACATGCGATGCGCGATTCCAATGGGTTGCGGCATCCGACTCCTGACATCAAGTCTTCTCGCCATGGCGATGGATCCCGTTCTTCCGAGCCGCGATCTGGCACACATGAAAGAAGTCACCGACGTACCCAGCACACCACGGCCATTGACGGCGACACCATCGACGACACTGCGCATGAACATGTCCAACTTCACAAACGTGACCAAGTTGCCGCCAGTAACGACGCCAACATCGTATCAGCCATGGCCGAAAGCGACTCCAGTGCCGACGGACGCTGAAGAAACCGAAGCTCCAACTCCAGCTACCTCTCGAGTTCCGACGGCTTTTCCAGTTCCAGACTCCTCTCCAGATCCAACGCCTGCGGTAGTCGAATTGAACTCGTCAGCTTCCAGCCACACGATTGCAGTCACGATCATCACCTTCCTGGGTGGTGCCATCGCGCTCGTGTCGGTCTTTTGCATCTGGCAGCGCTTCCTTCGTCGTGGGAAGAGGGACGATGACGGAGCCACGTCCCCACCAGCATTGTACATCCGCCATCCGTCGAATGCCCCGACAGCGGCATCCTCTGCCGCGAGCATGCACAACGACGGGATCAACTGGCACAATTTGCATCGTATTCAAGTCGCCGTCGGCGCCATTCAGCGCACAAAGCCGTTGGCTTCCGGTGCATTTGGAACGATCTGGCTAGGGACATACATGAACAAGACGGTGGCCGTCAAGACTTGCTCGAAATCGACGCGGACGGACATTCAAACCTTTCTCGATGAGCTTGACTTGATGTCGTCGCTTCAATGTCCTTTCATTGTGGCATTGTTGGCCGCAGCATGGACCAAGGCCACCGACGTCCATGCCGCGTTGGAGTACATGCCCATGGGCGACCTTCGCGACTTTTTGACTCGTTCGAAAGGGCTTTCCACACCACCGTGGGCGGAAAAGATCGCTATCGCGATCCACGTTGTGAAAGCGCTCGTGTACCTCAAGGCAAACGGAATTATTCACCGCGACTTAAAGAGCCGAAATGTACTCTTGGACGAGACCACTGGCGCAAAACTGGCTGACTTCGGCATCTCGAGGCGCGCGACCGACGCTAGCATGTCATGCGGTGTTGGCACGTATCGCTGGATCGCTCCAGAGGTGCTGGCATTCCGGCATTACACCGTCGCGGTGGATGTGTTTTCGTTTGGGGTGCTGCTGACCGAGCTCGACACCCACGAGTTGCCGTACTGGGACGTCGTGCAAGACAAACGAAGTTCGTCGAATGCGTCGATCGTGTGGAGAGTGCTCCACGAAAACCTGCGACCGACTTTCACGGCGCAGTGCCCCCAGTGGATTGTCGACCTCGCGACCGCTTGCATGCACTTCGATCCTGCCCGTCGTCCTGTGCCCGAACAGATCCTCGGTCTCCTCGAAACGCGTCAGTGCGGCGAGGCACCATGAGGTTGAGTTATCTGAATTCGTATCACGTGTGGCAGTGCGCTGGTCATGTTTTTTCGGTGTGGCAATGCGCTGGTCATGTTTTTTCGGTGGTTTCGCGCCTTACGCCCAGTAACTCTCGAGCAGCACATGCCACAGCGATTCTGCCAAATCGGTGGTCTGCTCCGCCGTCAAAAGCGGCTGGCAGCACACATACATCAGCCCCAATTGTGGCTTGACTAGCCCGAGAGCAACCATCGTATCAGCTCGAAGAAAGTAGGTAGAGGACGAACGAATCGAAGCCGCGGACGGTGCGCCGCCCATGACGAGTGTTTCCGACTTTGTTGGGTGAAGCCGTTGATGTAGCGTATGGTATACCCGGAGGACGTGAAGGCGCCACGATGGGGACTCGAGCAGCGTGCACTCTATGCGTTGTGCACGCATAAAAACCCATGCAATCCATTCATGGATGGCTCCAAAGCTAGCGACGGAGCGTACCTTCAAAGGGCGGACACACGACTTCGTGGGTGACGAACGACTGACAAAAGAAGTGGAGCAAGAGCGGCTGGAACTGTCCAGGCAACTGTGGCAGCGGCTTACATGGTTGTGCGGCTGGTGGCGGAGGGAAAGCTTTCAAAAGCAACGGCTCAAGGACACGACGGGTCTGCGTTTGGAACGTGTAGAACTGGCGTTGGCTCTGGTCGTTACTTAGCAACAATACGCTCATCCCGTTCGACAGGAACAATACGTAGCCGTATAAGAATCCGCCGCGGTTAAAAGTTGGCAAGCACAGCGGTGTCCACGATTCCGACTTCCGGAAGGACGGCATGTGCTGCAGGATGTGGAGCAGGACGTGGACATCTACAGCGGTGGGGTCAGAAGGAAGAGCACGACAGTGTGGGGACCTTCGATGGGAAGAGGGTGGTCCGGCAGTCCCTGCTTGTAAGCTACAACGCTGTCGCCGTGCGAAACCAGCCCGAACACGAGCCCTGGAACGTCCATGCCGCTCTGGATGTGTGGACGAGTCATGGAGGGGGATGTCATGCGTACACATCGAACGCCGAACCCATCCAATTGTGGCCACACTGTCGATGTCCACGCAGAGACAACTGCCATAAGGACACCGTGGGTGCCATAGAGGAGATTGCGCAGGTCGTAGCTCGGGTTGGACTCGATGAGGGAGACGCCGTTTTGTGTCAAGAACACGAGTAGGTGATGTTTGAGCAAGTGGAGCAAACGCCCGACGTTCAGACCTGACGTTCATTTGAGTACGAGATTTTGGTGGAGGAATTGCATCTGCGTGTGTGCTTCACCTCGGAGGGAAGAAGGAGTGGCGCAGAAGAAGAGCAACGGAGGAGACGGAAGGAACGTCAGCTCATGCGTCGGCGTCGTGATCTGCCTCAGCGCGTCGTCCGCGAAGCTGCTGAGGCCCTGGATCAAGCCGGCTCTAGCCACGTTGTCGCAGTTGTCGGCGTCCTTCGTGGAGAAGATGGGTTTGCCAGCGCCGCTCAGGATGTGAACTTCAGGCAGGTACGACATGGCGCGGCCGATTGAAGATCCGCAGCTGAACTGTCGACAAAAATGAATATCATTTTACCAAAATTGCGTAAATATTTTTTCCAACCGAATGTCGAGTCAAATTTTCCAACTCAAAAACAATTTATGCCAACTAAAACGCAGAAACCCACCATTTCGTCCATTCCGGATACTCTATCCGGGCATTGGACGTCGACGAAGGGAATCCAGGGGAAGCACGCATGTTGCATTAATTTCGCGATGGGAAAAATACCATCATGATTCGACAACCGCGCGTCATGTGCGATGCAATGACAGGGCTCCTTGTTGCGGCCAAGGAAGAGGGATGCTCCCTGTGACAACTGTACAATTATTACGTTGGGTTTTGAAAAAGGTACATACACACACATATAGCTATCACCTTGCAGCCTGATCACTTCTGATTGGTTCTTCTCAAGGTGATCGGAATCTGTGATTGGCTCTTCGATATTCTTTAAGTACGAAAATGTTACTTGTAGTTTGTATCTGCATTTCAATGATGCCATTTCTACAGCCATCTACATGGCAAATTTTGATCTGATTTTACCAGCTCGTTGTACTTTATTATTGTATGTTCTTGAACTTTCGCATATTTTACATAAAATCATACTATATTACATGTAACGTGACCTCGACCACAATTCAGTCGTACTTAACCAAAATAGGCCGCAGCTGGCTCAACTTCATTTCCTCTTTTGACAACCTGACATGAAGGTTGCGTTGCTTTCGACGATTGCCGCCGTGGCTGCGGCCCAGTCGACGTGTCCAGGCTTGGAATACAATGTCGACTACGAAGGCAGCGACATCACGTACACGGACCGCGCGACGGCCGCGGAATGCACGGCCGATTGCGCGAGTACGCCAGGATGCAAGCTGTTTGTGTGGTACCAAAATCAATGCTGGCTCAAGTCGTTCCAAGGCGAGAAGAAGTCGCTCCCGGACCGTATATCGTGCGTCCTATCTGCTCCAGTCACGCCAACCACCCCCATGTGTGCTGGTTTGGAGTACAACGTCGATTACGAAGGCAATAACATTGGGTCTACTCCGCGCAATTCTGCCAACGAGTGCATTGCCGATTGCGTCAACACCCCTGGATGCAATACGTTCGTGTGGTTCTGGAACACGTGCTGGTTGAAGTCGAAGGCTGCCAACAAGCAATACCTCCAAGACCGCATTGCGTGTGCATTGACGACGCCTGGTCCCCAGCCCACTTTGGTGTGTCCTGGGGTTTACTACAATGTGGACTATGAGGGCCACGATATTGCGTTTACGACCCGACAGTCTGCGGACGAATGCACGGCGGACTGCCAGAGCACACCTGGATGCAAACTGTTTGTGTGGTTTGAAGGGCAGTGCTGGTTGAAGAGCTCGAAGGGTGCCACTCGCTACCTCCCTGGCCGCAACTCGTGCGTGTTGGAGCGATCGACTCCTTCGACTGCGACGTGCCCTGGCTTGGAATATAACGTGGATTACGCTGGATACGACATTTCGTACACGGACCGCAACTCGGCGGCCGAGTGCACGGCCGACTGTCAAAAGACCCTCGGGTGCAAGGCGTTTGTGTGGTACCAGAACCAGTGCTGGCTCAAGAACCAGCTCGGCGAACGAAAAGAGCTGAGCGACCGCATCGCGTGTGTGCTGAACGACTCGAACGCTGTCACCACCACAACTTCTGCACCTGTCATGACAACCTCGACTGCTGCACCCATCACACCTGTCACGACAACCAACTTGCCGGATTTCCAAAGCGACGATGACGCCACCACGCAACAGCCCGCCGCCATCGCCACCACCACGACGCCGGCAGCACCTGCTACTACCACCACCACATCTGCTCCCCGCCCGACCGAATCCGTCAAGCCCCTCGAAACGGGTCCTCGAGGCACGGCCGCACCTGCTGGTACCCTCGAACCCTGGGATAGCCAAGGCACTCCGGAACCTACCACCGATGGCCCAGACTACGATGACTACACGGACCCTCCGGCCACCACTGCTGCACCCACCACCACCACGTTGAAGCCTTTGGAAACCGGTCCCCGTGGTACGGCTGCTCCTGCCGGCACCCTCGAACCTTGGGACAGCCAGGGCACCCCAGAACCTACCACCGACCTGCCCGACCCCGACGACTACTTGGACGACGCCGTCTCGAACCGTGCGATTGTATCCAACGCCCAAGTTGGCGATGCAGCCCATGCGAACACCCACGCCATGCTGGCTTTGGGTCTCGTTGGCATCGTTCTCGTGGCGCTGGTCGTTGTGATGAAGCGCCCCGCTGCGCCCACACCCACACTGGAACGCAAGCGCTTGTTACAAGTGTAAACGAGCGCTTTGGTCATCGACCCTCTCGAAGAAGCGTATCGCCGAGGTCGGGTAGGCAATTGCGCACCACATGCACAACGTAGAGTGCAGACACGAATAAATTTTGGTTATCTTGTGATGATATCTCGCCGCCATTCCAAGCACCGGCCCACGATGCGCAGGCACAAAGAACCTGAGCGCAGGAGTGCTTCCACCCACGCCTCCTTCTTCCGCGCCTGCTCGTGCTCGTCGACAACTGGCCCACGTGGCACCATCCAAAACAAAAACGAGTGAGAAACAGCATGCAGCATATATACATGTTCAACACATCGAGTGCTCAGACTTGGAGGAGGCGCTTGCGCTCTTCAGTCGACTTGGGCAAGTGCCGACTGCGCTTGTACAAAACAAATGCGACCAAGGCGACCATGGCGCTGGTCAGCATGACGCCGATGACCACTTCAGCGTGCGAACGTTCGTGGGGATCGATCGTCATGGCCATGAGGTGGGTTGCCTTGACAGGGGCGTTCGCTTCCTTGAGCGTGGCAGCCAAGATGAGCCAGTCAAGCGATCCGACGAACGGAACGTCCTCGTACGTGTGGATGTCGGTTCCGTTGTTGTCAATCGCGCAATGCGGCTGCTTCTTGATGATCTTTTGGACGTCGGCAAAGAGGTCGCGGCATCGCGTGTTGTTTTTGATCGCTTTGAGCTGCTTGGTTGACGGAAGCGTCGTGAGCTTGAAGATGCTCGAGTACAGACCCGTGTTGGCTAAGCACGAGTAAAAGCTCGCCTTGAGCGCGAGGCTGGCGGACGCAGCGGACAGCGCCCACTTGCTGCACTTGGTCGACACCTTCGGAACGGACTCGACGATGAGCGCCGTGACAGCCATGTCGAACGTCACGTTGTGGGCCAACAGGTTGAGCTCGGCGCAGTGCTGCGATGCCAACGCCGCCTCCTTGTCCGTGTAGAATGCGTGGCAGTTGGTGGATGCGTTGAACTTGACGATTTCGGCGAAGGTCAGCTTGGCTGCTGGGTCTTTAAACGACGCGCTCGACACACCGACGTCCACGGCGCACATGTCGGCATAACGCGACTCGAACGATGCAGAAATGGCTGCTTCCAAGTCGGATGGAGTGCACGTGCGGCTATCGTTGAACGATGGAGATTCGGGGGCAATCGCTCCCTTGACAGGAGTAGAAGCGCCGGACGAGGCCGTGCCAGGTGCTGCTGTCGTGGTGCTGTCATCGTCATCGCTTTCGATGTCGGGAGTGCCTTCGGTGGGTGCAGGCGTTCCAGCTTGCGACGGCACGGTCACGGCCGGAGTTGGTGCAGGCACCACGGTGGGCGATTCCACCACCGACGAGATCGTCGGAGCTACGGGCTCCGCTGTCGTCGTGGTAGGTGCCAGCGAACCAACTTCGACGTCGGGGAGATTCGTCGTTGGTTCAGGGGTGTTGTCTTCATTGTCAGGCTCCCCCGTCGTGGGCTCAGGGGTGCCAGACGAGGCAGGCGCGGTCGCGGCGGGCGTCGGGAGCGGCGCATCCATAGTGGCAGGACGCTCCGTGGAAGGCTCGATGGTCGTGGTAGAGGGTTCGATCGGCTCGGGTGTTTCAGTGGTCGTTTCGATTGTTGTCGTCGTGGGCTCAAGGGTGGTCGTCGTGGGCTCAGGTGTGTCGTCCTCTTCGAGATCGGGTTCGACAGTGGTGGGCTCCGGCGTACTCGCAACTGCGGGGACAGTGGCAGCAGGAGTGGGAAGCGGCACATCCACCGTGGGCTCAGGGGATGCCGTGGAGGTAGTTGGCTCTGGTGAGACCGTGGTCGGCTCGAGGGTCGTGGTGGGCTCGAGGGTCGTGGTGGGCTCGAGGGTCGTGGTGGGCTCGAGGGTCGTGGTGGGCTCGAGGGTCGTGGTCGGCTCGAGGGTCGTGGTCGGCTCGAGGGTCGTGGTGGGGGCAATGGTAGTAGGTTCGGGGGTATCGTCGTCGTCGATGTCGGGCATATCTGTGGTGGGTTCAGGAGTTCCTGCGGTTGTGGGGACGGTGGCAGCAGGAGTCGGCAACGGAGCAGTCGTTGCGTCGACATCACCACCCGCCACCGCGGTGGCCACCACGAGGGCGAGCGAGAGGAGGGTCAGCTTCATCGAGTCCAAGGCAATCGAAGAATGGCTGCGGCGAAGTCTACTTGCGGAGGCTACCGTACGTAGCCATTGGGTGCTCGGACCGCCAACCCATTCCAATTCGTTGTCCTACTACAGTAACATCGGTTGACTTCGTGACGCCCCGGTCCAAGCCACCCGAGGAAACCCCGCTGTCGAAGGGGGGCTCTGTGTGGCTGCTTTAGCCGCGCGCGACCGCCGACTCGACATCCTAACGAAACAAGGCATGGCGGCGAGATAGGCTTGCAGCAGAGATGGCAGCGCGCCAGGTGAATTCACGCCCAACGTTGGTTGGGGCGGCGAAGCGATGTGCCCTGGACACCAATAGCCAACGTAAAAACTCGCAAGGGTTGTAGTGGGATTCCACTCAAAAGGTTAAATCAAAATAGCATCTTAGCTCATGATTGGCCAAATATGCCTTAGCGCATTTTGTGATCTTTGATTGGAACAGTCGCACGCTCGAACCATGATTGGTCAAAAAGACTTCAGTGCGAGAAAAGGTATGTCCATTCATGCATGGGTGATGTACTAGTCTGCGAAAAAGTACTCTCGGGGCGCATGCGACTTGTTCCATCCAGGGCATACTTCGTTTTACGATAGTCGATGATACAGTGGGCTGTGGTGGGTCAGGGTCAGCCAGTGACAAGTCCGTCACAGACGCTTCGCAAAAATCAAACCTTTGTATCTTGTATATTTATATATTTTCATAGCACACTAAATAAACTTTCTCACTATTCCGTTGCGATTCCGGTGTCGTGAAGGTCGAAATCTGCATATTTTCGTACTTATGTTGACCAATCAGTGGCCCCCCATCTGTTGTCGCGTCGTCTAAGAATTCGATTGCACTTACGATCACTATGGCCCACGATGCATACCAAAGTGCTGGTCGTACAACACTCGTAAAGTTTTTCAAGTAAACTGTACGGTACAGTTGCTTGGAATGGGCACATTCGAGAAAACGTGCTCTGATTTTGTGATGCATATTTCACCTTTGTATTGGAATTTGTATAGTAGACATAAATATAAATGCGCGAATTTAGATTATATGGGATGTTCCGACGGCGGGCGGTGGGCTTGCTGCGCCAGGAGCCTCAGCTCTTCTTCGACTGGCATCATGACGGACCGAAGTCGGTGGTTGCTGTAGAGGACGTACACCCCAATGACAAAGCCTGTCCCTGCCAACATGGCCGCGAGTAGCACGCCCGCTGCGAGCTGCATGTGATTCCTCGGAAATTCAATAGCTACGCTCGTGTCCGTCGTTTGAGACGTCCATGGCTCCACGTACGGCGTCAGCACCTCCAACCATCCCACGGCAGTGTCCAGGGACAGATGTGCAATTGCCTGGATCGGCGTGCCTTCGTTGAACATCGCACACGTAGGCAGGGTGCCCACGACGTGTTGGAGGTCGGCAAACAAGAGTCCGCACTGGTCGGTGATTCGGAGCACAGCCAGTTGATGGAGGGTTGGGAGGTGGTCCAGGGCAACGGTGGCATTCAGGCCAGCGGCACTCAGACAATCCGAGTTGTTCGAGTTCATGATGGAGTGGAGGGTTGCCTCCCGAACTTGGGTCGTATTGCATCGCGTTTGCGTTGGCGGATACGTCGCCTTGATGTCGACATACGACAGAAAGAGTTCATAAGTCGACGTGGTGACAAGGGTGAGCTCAAAGCAAGAGTGGCTCAGAGCGGATGCCGTCGATTGGAAGTGCCCGAACAGCCACTGGCAGTTCTCCGAGTCTCGAGCCAACGCCACCTGGGACGACGTGAGGCGAAGACTCTCGGCATTGGTAGCATCAGGCAGGCCAACGTCGGCTTTGCATGGTCCAAAGTAGTCGCTTGCCTGGGTTTGAGTGAGCACATCGGACCACTGGGCCGTTGAACAATACGGCAGCGCAGGAGCGATCGCGGCTGTGGCGAAGGCAACTACGAGCAGATGGCCGAGTCGACGCATGTTGAACAATGGGTGTTATCGACTTCGCGCTGACGTGTGGCGAGATGCAAGAAAGGCGACCGTCCAACTCGGGACCATTCTGTAACTGCGTCGGAATACGATGGGGAAATCGATGCTGGTCAGCATAGCAGCTGGGGACAGCGCGTCCGCGGCACAACCGGGCGCATGGCGGCCTCTAGCAAAGCCCCACGGGAACCGGCTGTGGCGAGAGCTTGCGCCACCTACCGAGTTTTGGGCACGGAGGGGATGGGTCGCGATATCCTTGCGTGCTCTTGAAGTTGAATACAACGCATTTGATTGGTCCATATCATGATTAAAATTAGTTTTGACCAATCAAGTGTCTCCATTCATGCGACAACATGCGACCAAGGTCTGGTTGAGTTATTCTCTCGCGGGTGGTCCATGGATAAATAAGTTTACGTGGGGGGGCCCTGTGCGCTGGTTTGCATGGCGTACGCGGCTGCATGCGCCTCCAAATTCGTCAGCATGGCTTGCCGTGTCTGGTCGACTTCGCTTTGCCCAAAGGCGTCCGACGACAGGAGTTTGTCAACGTCAGGGTAGACGTCGCCGTGGTTGCGGAGGCTTTCAAACGTTCGCAGGATGTGTTGGGTAGCCAGCAGCATATACACGCCGCAGTCGTATCCATTTTCCTGCTGCGGCCCATGGAGCTTGGTTGTGTGAATGCGGTCCACCATGTTCGACGACTCGTCCATGCCGCTGTGCAGTCGGAGGAATTTCTTCAAGTTCTGGACGATCTTGGGCTTTCGATGGTAGGTACCCATCGAGTCGATCGTGACGATGACCGTTGGCGGCTTGCCCTACGCCATGACACAACAGCCTTAACACACACAAAGCAACGCAAGCGTCGCCAACCGAGTCGGTGGCTTCTGTGAAGTGCTTCGGGTACATAACGACGGCCAGACTCCAGTGCAGCCTACGGCAGCGTCAACCTCCACGGCCAACGGCGGTGTCAACGCACTGGAGGTTGATCGGAATAAAGATCAAGTCGTTGTCGAGAAGGTTGGTGAACCACGTGGCGACATTTGCGTAATTTTCCCGCAATTGAGTGTAGAAATGGGAGCTGACGATGGTGCAGAATGCGGCGGCCGATGGCATGTCGGCCATCACGAGCCATCTAGGAGCAGCCCCGTCGTCATCCACCTTTATGAAACTTCCCACGCACTTGAAGTAGTAGTCGACGAGGTTGTCGTTGAGGTACTCCATCGGTTGCAGGCGGTCGAGATCTGCTCGGGTAATCGAGATCACGTCCGTCGCGTTCGGTGGCAAGGGGTAAGTCAGTACGATCGGCGATCCTTCCACTGCCCGCTTTGTCGCTTTCCGAAGCCGTGCCACGTCCCCCGCGTCCACCGCCGGCAACAGCGACTTGTACCTGACATATTCACGTGATTCGCCAAACTCGTCGTCCGGACTCCTGCAGCGCAGCGTAAGCATCAATTGTTTGACGGCACGTACAGATCGCGCCATTGCCACAACGGATGGCCATGTTCGTCCACGAGGTGCATGAGCGCCGTGCACTGCGCCGTGTCGGTCGGCTGCACAACGATGAACCGCAACGGCGAGTACGACTGCTTGAACACCACAACCACGAATGGCGACGGCGCTTTTTTCGCCCACCTAGACACAACGCTCCAGCCGCGCGTCATGCCATCTCGAAAATCTTACAGCACTTGGTCAATGTAGTCGAAAAACACCGCGTACGTCGCCCACTGCAACGACAGCTTGGTGATGCTCATCTTGACATCTCGCCAACTCACGCCGGTCGAAGAAATGCAGCGGCAGTCCAATTCAAACACCCCAACGTTCGAAGCGGTAGGAGCCACGGTGGTGGAAGCAGTCGTCGTAGGCCGCTTGGATGGTTCCGTCAGTTGTTCTTCATCCGAATCGGACAAGTGGATCGGCGCCTCGGCTGTTCCGCCCGACCTCCGCTTCGCCCACGACGTCATGGGTTCCCTGCGCGGCACGTCCTCGTCGTCGTACAGCGACGAAGGCATCGTGTGTTGAAATGGCTTGTCTTCCAAGAAGAAGCTGTTGTCGTCCACTCGAGCCAAGCGAGATGCACTCGAGGACGCTTGCTTGGATCCGTCCGAGTCGGTCGCGTGGGGTGGCCTGACTGTACGCACAGGTCCTTCCGTCTCTGTCCGTTTGGATCGGTGATGCCTTGTCTCTACGACTTCATCGTCGTCTGCGTCATGGGCTTGGCTTAATCGTCGCCTGGAGGCGCTGGGAGCGGCCTTCGAAGGCGTTGTGGATGCAATACTAGCTCGAGAGTTCTTGTGTTTGGTTCCTGGCGGCGAGAGCACTGTGCCTTTCGGAGGCCAATACTTGCCCTTGCTGCATGCCTCCAACGTGTTCATTTGAACTCCTCGGACACCAGGCTGAGTCTCTCGGCTGAAGGTCATGAGGTTCGTGACTTTTCGGCCGTATATGGGATTGGCGGCGACCGGCGCAGCAACCGACACAGGTGGATTCGAATGCTTCTTTGCTTCTCCTGCGATCAGCGCTTTCCCTGGAATGACTCTGGTCGATGGAACCGTTGGACGCAATGACGACGTGTTGGAACCTTGCCTGACAATCGGATTCGTTACCGAGTAGAACGGGCTCGAGTCGCGCTGCGAGGAGACTCTCGACACTTCAAAGCTGGGACCGTGGTCGGTACCGGCCCACGAAGCACGAGGTTTTTTCCGCATGGGGTTTGGAATCGACGATGCCTGGGACGGCCTCCCAAACCCCGTGTCCCGTCGATACGTGGAATCACGCAGCTGCTGGTTCCTATTCGCAAGACCAAACTGTTTCTTCGGCTTCTTCGAGTCCGGTTCTGGCGCGTTCATGATCAAGTCCACCTCTGCGTCCAGTGCGGCGAATTTAGTCCGGTCGGTCATCCTTGCCGCCGCTTCCGAGGAAGCGATTGCTTGGTGCCAGATTTGAAGAACTGCACGTTCCGGACGTTCGATTGGGGAACGTTTATACAGGTCGATTTTACTCATATATAAAACGTCAACGTATCAGAGAATATATCAAAATACGATGATGTTGAAAATTCTTCAAATAAAACCCAATACGGGGATATATGTTTAAACGTGTCATCACGTTCCTTACGTGTTTTATTTTTCCTCACGTGGTGTGTCTTCGTCATTCATCTTCCTTGGATGCGAGCACGCGGTGTCAGCTAGTCGCTCGATAGGCGCATCATGCAAAGCAGCGCACAGGAAGAACTAGAGAAAATGAATGAAGAGATAGCATGCTGCTCCCTGCCATCTTAACAAGTGCGCAGGCCAATGCTTATGCCATGGGTGCGAACTGTTGATGACAAAAGCATCCATAAACGAGTGCGTGCTGCTCCACCAAGCATGGACGCAGGCTGCAAGAGACATTACTTGTCGACCACGCGGAACGCCAATGTCTCGGTGCCAGGTATAAATAGATCATGACAAGGATACAAGCCGCCGCGTCAGCGGCGGCACCTCCAACCTCTCTGCTCATGCAACAGATGAAAGCGTTGGGCAAAAGGAACGTTCAGGACATGTTTCGTCATATGGATGCCGACGGGAACGGGATGATCGACAGGGAGGAGTTTCAGCAAGGACTGGCAGCCCACGGCATGGACGCGGCGCACATTGCAGCACTTTTTCGGCAGCTGGACCCGCATCGCACAGGATCTATCGACTATAAGACGTTCTTTGACACGTATTACGATCAGCTGCCCCTCCCTCCCGCGCTCCTCTCGAACGCGCAAGTGCTCGAGAAAGTCCAGCACATCCTCCAGTCCAAGCGCCATCGACTCCATAAACTCTTCCATTCGATTGATGCCGACAAGAACGGTGAGTTTATGTGCAGTGTGCCAGCTCCTGTTTCTGGTTGTGCTGGGCCGTGGTGCCATGGCCGTGACGATTTCGTCGATATGGAAGCGTGTAGTAATCGACGGTGTGGTCCTTTTGCCAGGAACCATCGACCATCGCGAGTTTCATCAGTGCTTGACGAGTCTGGGGCTTCACCCGTCAGAAATCAACGTCGTTTTGGATGTATTCGACCCCGACGGCAACGGAGCCATCGATTACGCCGAATTCTCCGCGGCCGTCCTCCCGCTGGACGGGGCCACCGAACTGCACGCGCTCCACCTGGCCATGGAGAAGCCCCATGGCGTGAAAGCGTTTCCGCCTCCGCCGTCGCTTGTGAAGCCGCTCATGGAACAGACCCCATGCGACGGTCTCGACGGCGCTGCCGACGACGTTGGTGTTGCCGAGTTGTACGCGACGTTTGTCGAGAAATTGCTGCTAAAACACCGAGACCTGCGCTCGGCGTTTCGCGTGTTTGATGTGAAAAAGGAAGGCCAGTTGCCCCGCGACGCGTTTGCTCGATGTATCGAGAGTGTCTTTGGCGATGGCGCGGCCGACGCCACCCGACGACTCTGGCCATTCCTCGATCCCACAAACTCTGGATTTGTGCCGTTCTACACGTTTAGCAAAGGAAAACAGCACCCCAGCGCGCAAGCGTCGCCCATCAGACCAAGGTACAATGGTACCATGATTTGGGCCAACATGCAATCGTTGACGTGCTTAGCCATTTGAATCCGATCCTTCCGTCGCCAACCAAAGCCCCAACACGGCGGTCCGCGGTCCAAGAAAAGGTCCGTGCTCCATGCGGCAACGAGGGGCATCCATGCAATGCGGTTTTTCGTGTGTTCTGCTTGTGCGGGATGGATTGTGCTTCGGACAATAATGCGGTCGGGATTTCGTCGAGTGCTTGTGGTGTCTCGCCTGGTTGGAGATATCGTGTGAGAGGGCCATCGCAATGGGATTCCGATGGAGAATGTGGTCATGGCTAGGTTCGTCTGTACTTGGAGGGCAAGTACAAAAACGTGGGGAAGGGTGTCGGGGAGCTCTACCGCCTCTGTCACCCGGATGCGGTGGGGGTGTTCGACAAGGTAAGTCGACTTCCCCGACGACGCGTCCCCATGACACTGCTTGTTGTCCACCCCAGCGGCATTTGATTCGGCTGCTGCAAGCGCACTGTCAACTGAGCGCTGACGACGCCGCGCTCTTTTGTTCCTTTGGCCGGCCTCCCTCCGACATGAACATGATGGAGAAGGACATTCTACTTTGCTTGAATGCCACAGCAACGCCACCGGAAGATGTACACCCGAGGGAGCTCTTCAAAGACGCTCAGCGCATCGTGTTCTTGGCAGAGACGCACAATCGAACGCTCCAGCAACTTTTTCGTCATGTCATCCAAGACACACCCGACGACAAGGTCGTCCACACAAAGCTGGTACTCCACGACAAGCTGTGCCACGTCGACTCGATTGATGGACTCCCATAGCCTCTGCCGCGGCTCAGCGACCTCCTCTTCAACACGTTTCAAGTCGATATTCCTCCAGACCGGCTAGAAGACCTGCTCGGATCCTCGGACGACATTACGTACAGTCAGCTCGTGCACTGCGCGGAGCGAAAAGTCCTGGCGATCGAGGTCGGGGACGTCGTCGTCGTGGATGTGTTGGATGAACGAACGCATAGGCACATCATGCCATGGTAACCTCGGCCAAGACCGATTTCTATGGTCAGCCTCTGGGAAATCGAGCATCCGAGCCGCCATCTCCCCTCTCCAAGCGCCACGTGAGCGACCCCGCCTTCCTCACCCACGACATGCGAATCCAGGACCTGCCTAGCCCCACCAAGCGGGCGCTGCCTTGTCAACTGTCCGCACACGACATGAACTTCAAGGGAGCGGGTGTCCCGTCCGCGGTTCTCGGAGGGGTGCGATGTACTGTTGAACCCATCGTGGCACTGCCCGAGCCTGAAGAACGTCGCGTGGCGCCACGTTGGCAATCCAAAACTGTGGAAGTCGCGCATGAAAAGATTGGGCTGGGCGGAGGACGCAAGAAAATGGCCAACGACCCTGGGCGACACAACATGAACGACCTCCTTCTGAACCCCCCACCCACAACGCATCACGTTTCTCCGTCGACGAGAGGCGGCGGCACCACCCGTCTGTGGTGACCCCCTTGGCCGAGTCTTTCTGACACTATCATCTGCTTGAACAACGGCAGCGACAACAGAGTCGTTTCTCGGTATGCCGATCGCTGTAGCAAAGCGATGGAGGAGCGTGAAGATCTGTGTCTCGAGCGCTCGAATCACTTGGAAGTGTTGCGCCATGCTAAGTTTGAATCGACAACGTTTTCCCGGCAGTGCTGTTGGGGAGGGTGCTTCGATTGCTTTCAGGACATGTCGTGAGAATGGCCCTGTGTTGACAAGAGCAATGATTCTCTCGAGGGGATTGATATCTTCTCCAGCGTCCAGCTCTGTTGCTGGACGGCACGTGCATCGCGCAATGTCGTCGCACCAATCGTCGATGCTATTGAAGGGGTGGCCGTGATCGATCCAGAGGTCACCTCCACCCACGCAATGTTGGCGAGAACAACGATGCAGTGGACGGTGTACCGATGGGCGGCGTTGGAGTATTTGCCGACCGATGCGCTCGCGGGATTCCAAACGGTCTGTGGTAGGACGTCCACTGCATGACGTCTGACTCCATCGATGGCACATGGTGATGCAAAATGTGCCTTGCGCGAAGCTCCGACGTATTCCCACCTCAAGTGTATCCATCGATCGTTCCTTTGCTGTGATGTCTTCGAGAGCGGAGCCGTATTGACAACTCGACCGAAAACGATCTCGTTTATCGCGACACCCATGCACCGTGGTGCGCTCCTTGCGGCTGCAGCCGTGGATTCATGGAGCCAACATGCAGCCACACGAGGGATCCACGACGCTTGGCGACGCGGGGGACAAATTTGCCGCCGCCACGCATAGACTTGCAATCACGTTGTGCTGCTATGCGGGAGTTGTCCTTGTCGATTTGGTAAGTGGCCAACTCTGCGACAAAGACCACAGCACGCACAAGACACCCGGACCATGCGTCCAGAGTACAACATTGATGGAGCCCCGCCCGAGACAAGAGTGAGTCAAGGCGATGCTGGCGAACAAGTTCTCCACAAGGAAGCGCTGCATCGTCGATGTGAACCAGTTCTGTCCAGAGAATCGCATGTACATGATGGATCCCTACACCGCGTTCGCAATGGGAAGTCCTATCCACGTGATCAAGCCGATCCCATCGCCCGTGTCGACCCAGAGTTGTGTTCGACCACTCGCTCCTCTGAAAACTCCATTTTCTCACGATGCGCAACCGCGCTTCGTTCTGTCAAGGATGGAGAGCGGCCAGAAGCAGCAGCAATCCACTCGAGAACAATGCTTTCTTGGGCGATGTCGTGATTGGAGATCATGCCGACGCCCGTGGATTGTTCGCTCCATCGACTTGACTATCTCAATAATGAATGGATTTTTCATTTATGTGAATACTGTAATCGTGACGTATTCATACAGTACTTGAAACATTTACCCTTGATAGAAGAACTTGAAGCATGTAAAATATTAAAAAAATTTAAAGAAATAAAAGATAATTTTTCTAATTTTTCTAAAATATAAGAAGAATTTTTTAATTGATTTAAAAAATTATTACCAATTTCGTACAGGAACAAGGTAAAGAGACAACTTGCGCCATTCGCCGTCCTGTGCGCGCACCGACACATGACCCAATCGAACCCCTTTCTCGGACACTAGGCCACTCGAACGGTGAGTTGCTCTGCATTGCGATGCGCTGCCTCGAGCGCAGCTTCCCAGCTTCATATTCTTGCGGTCCCCATTTCTGCAACTTGAACTTGAGTGAAGTCGTCAACAAGCTCGATCGGTAATAAAACGTCTCCGCCAATAAAACGCGTCAAGATACATCCGTTGAAGAAAGGTATACTCCCCTTGTCACATCGCTCCCCCATCGTTGTTGGCCGATCTCGGGTCACATTTTGTTCTATATGGCCTCCACATGGGATGGTTCGGGTCATAAGATGCTGTCCATCGACTGAGCAGCCCGTGCGCGAACCTGGCGTCTCTCCAAGGACGTAGTGCCTGTTGGCGCGCATTTCCACCAGTCGTCTTTCGCGCCTCGAGTCAACCCACCGTGCGTTAAAAACACCACGTTAAACCCATTCGTTTGAATCTCGTGTCGCATACAGACCGCCATTCCTATCGTTATCCGGAGGATTTCAGCGAAATGATGGTCATCAATGGACCAATCCGAGGGCGCCGTGAGTCGTGGTGGGCCAAAAACGCGATTTGATTGGTCGATGCCACCACCGATCCGGATTACGGTGGCGGGCCACATCGTCGCGAGTGTTGACGGCCCATGGGACCCGACGAATCATTCCAACGTCCGCGTCGACACGGCGCCGCCCATTCTCTGATTTCCTCGCTCCCCATGAAGCCATCCATGAAATCCAAGGTTGAAGCAGCCCCGCTGTTTCTCCAGAAGATCTACGCCATGTTCGAAGACTCGCCGGTGCGCATCGCGGGTTGGATGAACAAAGGCACGACGGTCGTGATCAAAGAGCCCGAGGAGTTTGCCAAGGCGATCCTGCCGCAGTACTTCAAGCACAGCAACTTTAGCAGCTTCGTGCGGCAACTCAACTTTTACGGGTTCCGCAAATTCAAGAAGGACGATATCCTCATCGAAGCACACGACCCCACCAAGAACTGGTGGGAATTCCGCCATGAAAAGTTTGTCCGACATATGCCCGAACTCATGGCACAGATTCGACGAAAGACGTACTCGGACGCGTCCGTGAGCAGCTCCAACGGCACAGTATCGGAAGTCGATGTGCTCAAGTCGCAGGTGAAGACAATGCAGACGCAGTTTGACGCGCTTACAAGCCAGATCGCGTCGCTCACTGAAGTCGTGGCAAAGCTGGCGCAGTCAAAGAAGCGATCGCTCTCCGCCTGCGACGAGGATATGGTGGAACAAGTTGTCAGCGATGAAAAGCGAGTAAAGGTTGAAGATGGTCTCATGAAAGACGAGCTGCCAGAAGCGATCGCGGCCCCGACATTGTCCAAACAACACAGCCTCATGTTCGATCAGCTGGACGATCTCTCGTTCGACGACTCGATGACTTTGGACCCTGCCGCATGGCTCGACGGCGTCGACTTTTCAATCCCCATTGCTTCGTCCGCTGCAGCTCCCGCGACAGTGCCCCCTATGGCCCAAAGGTGTTCGAACACAGGCCCCCTCACCTTTCTTATTGCACTGAAGCCTCAGCAGACCTAGGCGCTCCCATGTAGCATCATGCTGTCCTGCATTATGCTCCCTACGAGTCTTACCTTCGTCCAAGACTAAGATCCCGTTGTAATCTATTTATTCGACATGAACAACACGTCATCGGACACCGCATCAACCATCAGAAAGCCACATCTTCCCCCACATCCTCCTTTCCTTTCGGGTCCACCTGTCCGTGTGAATGGAGGAGGTATGGTGATGTGGACAGTCGAACGGTGCGACAGCGAAACACCGACGTACTTCAAGTGCTGTTGCAATCCACAACTCCCATGCACCCATGCGTGCAATCTGTGTGGTTTCCTGGGTGATTGAGTCTCCATGGAGCGCGGAGCACTCCCTGGAATGGATGTGGCGCACAAGCACTTTCCATCTCCTCCATGACGTCCGCCGTGCCGGTTCTGCATGCTCTGTGGATTACAATCCAATTGGGATGTAACAATTTTTGGCATTTTTGTCAAAAAATTTGCCAATAAATTCATACCGTAGCAAAATCCCTGAAACCTGTAGATTATAATATTCCTGCCACGTTCAATACATGGCGGGTTCGTTTGCCGCGCAACTTTTCACGAGATGTCGGGATGGGAAGAAAGCTCGGCCGTGCTTGGCGGTCATGGAGACAGCGCGTCCAAGAAGAGGGATCTGGAAGTGGACGCCACGGAGGAAGACATGCCGCTTGGAGAGGAAAACAAGGAAGGAGATGAGTCAATTCCATTGAAAGCTAAGAAGAAGCGAGCCACGTTCTCCGAGCAACACTTGCTCGGGCCGAAAGGGTTTTCGTTGGTGTATTCTTCGTTTCCGACACATTTCAATGGTGCTGTGACTAACGGCAACGAGTCTGAAGCGTTGCGTGAGCTCATCACCGCGTACAAGGAGTGGGCATACGAGCTGTACCCGGGCCTGAATTTTGAAGACCTCGTCGACCGCACAGAAATCATCGCAAAGAAGGCTACGGTGTCCTCATATCTATCGGATCTGCGACAGCAAGAACGAAAGCGTGGAGAGCCCGTCGAACCAGAGCCTGCGCTGCCGACGGCGCATGAGCAATGGGTTGCAATGCAAGACTACGAAGCAGCTCTAAAGGCACAGCGCGAGTCTTCAGAATCAAAACCTGCGGGTGAAGCGAGCAACGGAACTCCAATTCGTCGATCCTTTCACATTGAAGACGAAGGTGAAGCCGAGTTCGAACTCCCAACAAGCGTACAGCAGGCAAAGAGCGACGACAGCGGCAGCGAAGCTGAGTTTGACTTCATCGCTGTCTCCACGCGTTCCCAAGTTGATGCCCCCGAGCAAGGCCGTGAAGAAGAACGCGCGGCAGAAGAAATCGATTTACCTGGGGACAGCAGCAGGATTGATGAAGCGCATGAAGCACCGAGAGCACATTTTAGCGACGCATTGCCGTCCCCACGCGATGACGTGGACATTGGTGAGTAAAGTGTCATAAGAATAATGTATGAGTACGGTACAAAGAGAAATAGCGTCGTTTCATGGATATTTGCAGGAAATCCGTCAAATTCGCCCGAAAATGGAAAGAAATTCCTCAAAATTGGGTTTTTTGCTTGAAAAATGGCATCATGTGCATGTCGGCGTTACATAGTCAAGCGTTTCGTCGGTGCAAAGGCGAAAAAGCCGCCGCCGAGATGGCAACGAAGCGAGGGATGCCGACGCTGGACACAGCGTCCGCGGCAGCTGTGCAGCAAAACAACCTTCGCATCATCGAGACCTTCATTGCGTCAGAGAACTCGCGGGAACTGCAACTCGCCCAATGCAAGTCGGTGGAGAAGCGAGGGCTTCTTGAGATGGAGTTTGCGCTCGCGCGAGCCCACGAGTCCAAGTTGCTTCACCGTATGATGCAGCAAAAGGGCGACAGTGTGGACACATATCGACTGGAAGAAGAGGTCAACGCGATGTTGTTGGCGTCATCGAAGCGCATACAGGAGATTGTTGCCAAGAGTCCATTGCCTAAGTCTACCTTTGCAAAGAAGCATCCTGCGAAGAAACGCGCCATGTTGACAGGGCCACGAGAAAGCATGAAAACGGTCATGCCAGCCATTAAACAGCGACAGCACGTGATCCCAGCAGCGTCGCCCTCTGCAATACAAACGCGCACGAAGCCAGCGCTCGACACTACAGGCCAACGCACAAGAATACCACAGACGAACGCACCACATCAGTCACCGGTCAGCACGATAGAGACCCTGCCGCGACGTGTAAGCCACCCCAAATTCCGCAGCCCCAGTGACCCAACAGCTGCCCCACCTTTCACAGCAGACAACGCAACCCTCGCGGACCCAACAACGGTACCTAACGTGCACGTCCAGTTGACAAAAACGCTGCCAGAAGTACGAGCTACTCCTGCCGAACGAACGGTCTCGTCCCCTTTCGAGAGCTTTTTCCATGCGTACATGGGAACGCCGTCCGAGTTGCTCTTCTCCAAGGTGAAAGAAGTTGTGTTGGACGTGGATGGTTATGAAGTGCGCGTGCGCAAAAAGTCAGGTGCTGCCGAACGTCCTGCGACCGCCGACACCACGCACGGCGTGCGCGGCGTACGCGCGCTCAAGGCGCAGAAAGAATTGGAAGAGGTGCAAAAAGAGGTCAATCGCGCAAACGGCTCACCCGACGAGTCCGCCAAAGAGATGCACCGCATCGACGACCCGAGCAACGCCCATCTCGATTCGGCCAACGTGACATTAGACCCCCGCGGCGGGACAGAGCTTCGAGACACTTCCAGCGAGGAAACGGAAGGCGATCAAGCCAACGTGGTGCCAGCACCGTCCCCAGCCAAAGACGACGCCACATCCAAGTTGGACTTCTCTTTGCCGCCGGCAAACTCCATCGCCGAGCAGCGAGAGCCGAACCAACAACACTGTGATGCTACCACACACAACGACGCGACCTGTGAGGATCCCTGCAACGAATGCAGCCCCCCAGACAGCCCCTCCCGACTCGCGCAGGTGCACGATGTGTCGGTGGTCGTTGTGGACGCCATCGTTGCCAACGCTCTCCACATCCTTTCGGACGTCCCTCCCGACGATGCGCTTGAGGAAAGCGATGGATTTGCACCTTCCCCGACAAACGTGGCGCCACTTTCCAGTCCCGACAAGGCCATGTCGTTTCAAGCGCCCAACACACAAGACTTGCTGGCCGTCGCAGAGAGCTTCATGCCGTCGCACGAGGTTGTATACCCACAGCCGCACGTGGAAGCGCATCCCACAGCTCTCGACAATCGCTCGAGCCATTTGAAATGTGCCGAAGCGGCCGTTCAAGTCCAGCGGATGGTGCGCGGGCATCAAGGACGAAAGCACTTCCAAGCCACGTTGTACGAGGAAGCGCAATCGTGTGGTGTGCTCGGGGCCATGCCAGGGACCACCCAAGGCGCCACAGGATGGTACCAGGAGCAGGCAACGTTTACGGCGCACTACTTTGTCGTGCTGCCGTCGGGAGAGTGGCGGCCCAAGGTGAAAGTGGCTTGTCCCCACATGATCCTGACAACGCACGACATGAAGCGACTCGTTCATGACATGATCAACGTAATGGACATGGATTGACTCGAGAATTGCACTGGTCGAGTCGTCAGCGAGGCATCGAGTAGAACGGCGTCAGAGTTAGCGACGACGTTGCGGCAGCCGAGGCTTGAAAGAGTCCGTACTGCCCTTCGATACACTCGTCCTGGACGTCGAGGAACAACGTCTGTATCGCTAGCGCTCGCTTCCCGCCCGTGTCGTCGGTGCACTCGACCTGCACGCAGTGCATCGCTTGGAAATGCGTGCGAATGGTCGCCAGAAGGCATCGCTTGTAGCTATCGTCGAAGAAGAAGCGGCTCGCATCCAGGTCGATCGTTTCCCGGGGTAGTACTACAATGCTATTGCTGGATGTTGCGGCACGCTCCAAGGGAGCACTCGTTGAGGGGGCCACGGGGGCTGGGGCTAACGTGGCCCAGAGTGTGTCAAGATGGTGAGGCATCGGTCGAGTGCTGGATGGTCGAACCGATGATGGAAGCTCTGTGTAGGCAGGATCGCAGGCCTCCAGGGCGTGCTCGACGTGGTACAAGGATGGCGTTGCTGCTGGCATTGATGTTGAGGAAATGGGCAGGTCGGTGGTATCGATGGCAGAAGGTTTGACCTCCGCTCGAAGCGCTTTTGGCGAGGCGATGACCGTGGACGCAATGGGTGCAGGATCAACTTGTTGGTTCACTGAATCGCGCGCCGTGATAGAGTCGCCTCCTGGGCTAGGCTCCGTTGCAGTCGGTGCGTCATCTTCTGGGGCGAAAGCAACGTGTGCGCCGTCGTGAATGGCAATGGCCGCCTCGAAAGCTACCAACAAGTCGTCTGTGTTGACTGGGGGTTTGGAAAGTGTCTTGGAAGGCTTCGCGGGGGGAATGGCTTTCTTCGCTGCGTACAGAGCATAGCACGAGTCGCAAAACATGGCGCGGTTGTACAGCCGATTGCGCTCTTTGCGATGGAGGCATGCCAGATGAGCTTCCCACGCACCGGCTGGGTCGTCGTGGCCGGCGTTGTCGAAATGGTAAAAGAGAACGTCCTACCCAACAAGATGAGGTTCCCTCCTCGATGCCGCGATGTGCCTTGTAGAGCATCGAGAGGTTGGGATTTGGAGGGTGCTTGCAGCTCCTGTTCGCACAAGTCGCCTACGACGCCGTCAGCCAACGAACCAACGTATTCACGCAGCACACTCGCGGGGTCCCTTCGTCTTGGTTGCTGGCGACGTGCCGTGGCGGCGGCACCACCACCACACGTTTCCATCGAAACGCTTTGACTTGGGTGAGCCACCACTGCCCTTGTTCACTCTGAATCAAGTCGACGACGGCCAGGGCAAACTTGACCTGCCATACACGATGTCGACCATGCGTTCCATGGGCAAAGGGGCTGCCGTACGTTTAACGCAGACTCGAGCACACACACCAAGTTGGCTGCGACGGCTTTGGGCACCGGCCACGACGAGCTGCGCCATGCCATGAGCGAGGGAATCGAGCAGCGTTGGCGCTGTACCTTGTGGTGCATTTATCAATGTGGCACGTGGCCATCGACGTGGTGTCAACGAAGTTGTGCTCGTGGTCCGAGAGAACCCATACGAACGGGGGGTGCTTGCACTGCCACACGCTGCGGACGAGCCACGTTTTGGACCCCTTTGGCTGGATGTACTCTTGCAGCGCCGCAATCCTATCCACGAACAACGCATCAAGCGTTTGCCTGTTCCGTCGTCCGTACGTAGTTGGGCTGCTCGTGATGGAGTCGAGTTGCTGTAGAACGGCGACGTTGGATTGTAGGAATTGCAAGTCGTTTCCTTGGCTCTGCTGCACTTTGTAGCACACCAAAGCCCCGTGTTTGTCTGCGGGATGGCTGCCCAACATCGGCGCCGACCGAGTCAGCAGACGAACGATCTGTTGGGCATCTTTCATCACGGCGACCTTGGTCGCGTACGCTTTGGCTTGCAGGATCGAGGCCGACGTGGCCGTGTAAAGCAATGTAAAGCCGCCCTTGCCATCGCTGAAAAACGTGCTCGGCACTTGGACACCAATGTCGACCTGGTTGGCGCTTGCTAGGGCACGGAAGAAGGCGACCCGGGGGAGCGTCGACGTGTCATTGTACTCGATCGCGTGGCAGCTGCACTCGGCAACCAACGAGTGAAACCGAGCGAGTTGATGGGACGTGGGGACGAGTGGGGCCTGCAGCGCCGGGAGCGTCGTGGGTTTGTGGCGATGGTGTGTGTGCGGTGGACGTGGCGGACTTGATTCCGGCAATGGTCGGCGCTGCAGGGGATGCAGCAGCCGTGCCTTCTTCGACGCCTTTTTGGGCGGCGACGCCGGAAATGCCGTCGCGAGCCAGCTATCGAACGCCGTTTGCATCTCACGTCGGCTATCTTTAGTGCCTTTTGTAAATTCATCGTTCAACCAAACGCAGGATCGAATAACTCCCATTTACTTGGTTAGCTTGCCGCGGAAAACAGCCTCCGGCACGGGCTGCTCGTCCATGTCGATGTCAATCTCTTCTGCATTCACGTCGTCTGCGGTGGTGTGTTCGAGCTGCTCCATCGCGTCGGCGGGCACTGTGCTGCTGCTGCTCTGGTTGGTGCTGCTGGCCACCATGTTGAGCGCGCCGGCCGCCGTCCCGATGTAGTTGACGGTCGCATACTGGAGTTGGACACTGCGCTTGATGCGAAGCATGTCGAGGAAAGTTTCTTCGTTCCCGTGCTCAATCTCGAACGCATGCCACTTGCTCCAGAACGATTCCTCCGACACGCGCGGGTCACAGCACTGCGATATGTGATTCAAGACAGCTCGTGCTCGCGTGAGCTCGCCCAACGCGGCTTCAAACGCCGAAAACTCGAGTCCCAACTGCCACACTGTCTCGTTGGGGAGGTGGCTCATCGCGCGCTCGTAAATGCTGCGCACAGTGATCACACCCGCCAACTTTTGGGCCTTCTTGATGTAGAAGCGGTAGAGGTCGAGCTGAACTTGGGGGTTCGACTCGATCTTGGCTGTCGCATCTATGACACATGAAATCAATGGCATGTACATCCACATCCACGCACTTTCATAGATGGTTTGGGCATTGCGCCAGAGCCCATAGTTCTCTTCGAGCGCAGCATACTGCTTGAAAAACTCGGGGAGGTCGGCCTCGGGGGCGACACCCACAACTTGATTGAACAAATCCCGCGCTCGCTCGAGTTTCGCCCCTTCGTATCGCTTCACAAACGCCGTCAAGTACGCCGTCCAAATGTCCTTTGCATGCGGGAACGGAAACAACCTGATCGCCTTCTCGTACACTTTGAACGCGTCTTCAAAGTAAGCATGGCTTTCGAGGAACGTTGTGTACTGCAGCACCATCACCGCCGTCGCGAGTTTCAGCTCGATCACGCGGTCATATGCGGCGCGAGTCGACTCGATGTCCCCGAGCGACTCTTCTAGATCCACGCGAAGGTTCCAGACCTTGAGCGACTTGACCAAGTTCTTCTGGTTGCAAGCAGCGCGGATGAGCTCCAGTGCTTTGTCAAACTCTTCGTGGCGCAGCTCCAGTTCGACTTGTGCGCACAGCACCGTCGCACGCTCGTCCATGTTCCTCCACGGGTGCGCCAGGGCCCTCGTAAAGATCGCGCGCGCATTCGCCAGGTCGTCGTGCTGTTCATAGTATGCCGAGAACGCGATCCAGAGCGCGCTCAATGGGCCGACGGCGTTGGCCGAATCGATTGTCTTGAGCGCTTCCGTATATGTTTTGACGACGAGCAACGGCGAGTCCTCCAGTAGCTTAATGCGCTTCTGCCATTCCTTGACCGAGTGGGGATTCTGCCGCAGAAAGACTGCGTTCATGAGCAGCGGGCGGCGCTCCGCCAAGTCTTCGTACAGCTGCAGCGTGCGCGACAGCTCTTGGCTCTCGGGATCCTACTCAAGAGTCGAGTTGACGAAGACGGCACAAAAGTGGATGGAAAACCCAGCCAAGCCCGTCGACACACCGACTCGAGAACCAGTCGGGCATTGCGTCCAGGAGGACGCTGCACCCGACGACGACATGGAGTTTACCTGCATCTCGGCAGTCACGAGCGCTTCCAAAAACTTGACGTAGGCATCGAAAATGAGCGAAAAGTCGCGCACAGTCAGCACCGCCGCCTACGGCCCGTCACGATGAGCTGCTGTCGCACACAGGGAAGGACGCACCAGGCCTTCTTCGTAGATGTCGCGAGCGTTGTCGAACATGCCCAAACGCATGTAGTACGTCGCCAGCGCGCACCAGAACCGGCCGACTTCGTCGGAGAACAAGTGGAGACCGGACCGCAGAATCGCGTCAATGTTGAGCGCGGAGCTGACCTCGTCAGGGTGAGAACTGATCAGCGAGCATAGATCCATCCACAGGGAATGCCGTGAAGCCGTCTGCGGGAGGTTGAGCACATGCACGAGTTGCAGACTGGCTTCTTCCCACAACTCCTTGGAAAGTAGGTACCGGACGTAGTCTTCGCGGCCTGTGGGATCGAACATAAGGTAGCGCCGGTACACGCGAATCGCTGTGGACGGAACTCCTTGTGCATGGACGAAGGCAAGGTAGGGACCCCAGATGCGCTTGTGTTGTGTGATGGGAAGGGCGCGGAGGGCCCGGTCAAAGACGCGACGGGTGCGTGTGCCCCAGCGAAGGTGGTCGAGAAGTTGGAGATACTGCAGCCAGATGCGTGGCATTTTGTGCAGATGCACGAGAGCATCTTCATAGAGCACGGTGAGTTCAACGAATTCGGGGGCATCGATGCGGAGCCCACGCGCCAGCCCGTAGCTCTCGTCGAGGAATCGTTTCCACAGCTTGTAGCTCAATGGAACGTACGTAAGCGCGCGACGGAACAAGGTCTCGCGCTCCTTTGACAGCCGCGTCCCGTTGGGTTTTGTGTGGACCAAATTCAGGTACGACGTCCAGTTCTCAATCGAATACGGATTGCGAGCCACGTCGTCTTCGAACTGAGCTTCCATGGCTTCTTGCGACTAGAGCCGGCATATTCGCTAAGACAAGATGATGCGACTATGACGGTACCTGGAGGTAGGCGCGGACATCTTCCATCGCGACAAGCCCAGCCATGATGTGGACCTCCTTGTAGCCGAATCAATTACCACAAATCCAAAGTTGAGAGTACTGTGATATTTCATAACTCGAAACCTGTAATATTTGATATAGAGCCTCGCTCATTTTCAAACGTTTTTATCGAACAAAGCGAGTTATCGAATATTAGAGGCCCTTTCGAGCTCAATGTGGGGAGTTGAATAAAATTAGGTTGAAATTTCTTGGTGAAAGTAAAGCGATTAAAGAATTGTATTATATTGCTCGCCGGCGCTGATAACCAGTAAAAGCAGTTGTCAAGATGCAAGCACTGTTGCGCGTTGCCCGCACCGCGGTTGCCGCGCCGGCAGTGAAGATGCCTTTCGCAGGTAGACGGCGCTTCCGTGGTGATGGGATAGACAATAGCTTGTTGTGCCTAGCTGCGTTCTCGTCGTTTGAAGTTGTATCCCGTGGCTTTCCTGCACATCAAGTCCCTTCTCGTCCTCCCATTCTCTTCCAAGCGGACGACGCCCTGGACGCGGTGCTGGAAAACCTGCGTCTGTCGTCGGAGCCCATTGTTGGCATGCAGTTGCTCGGCCGCAACTCGCGCAAACCGAAGAAGGTGCGTGCATCTGCTGCACATGCTGCATGACATGTCCCGACTCGTTGTGTCCTCCAGGCCAACCACGGCAAGCGCCCTTGCTCGCACGTCCGCCGCCGCTCGAAGCGCCTCAAGTAAACAAGCGTCGCGCAGCCCATCGAGTGTGTTGTACTTTAGACCTTTTCAACTAGAACCCCGCGGTTTTTGGATCGCTATTCCTCGATGCCTATATAAAGCAGATCACTTTCATGTCTGTGGTGATTGTCCCAACCTTCTCGTTGTGCACTTCTCCTAGATTTCTTCGGTCGGACTCGCGGTTTGTCATGCGAAGATGCAGAGTCGCTCTCCGAGCGTCATCCGGGCCACATCTTGCAGGATATTTTTGAGTTGGGTGTGCAAGGCCACAGGCGGCTCTTGCAGTCGCTGTACGTCGTGAAGCAGTGCCTCGTCGACGGCGTTGGAAGTGTACGTGAAGCTGCCGTCCGCTCCATCAGTCCGAACGAAGGCGGATGGCTCGTGCAAGGACGGGGACTTCCGATGCAACAACGGCAAACCCTTTTTCTACGAGGATATGTCTAGGTGCATGTCCTCCACGAACGTGAAGTTGGGTCGGTGGGGTTGGATATATCGAGACGAGAGAAGTTGGGATGCACTGGGTACACTAGTGCGTCTGGAACATGGAGCGACGAGAGGGTTGGTTTGGACTGTCCATCCAAGAGGGTGTTGGCTAGGATACAATTATAACTTAGGAACTTCGGCGTGATGTGAGGTGCGATGGCTCCAGTCTTCGGTGGACTGGGGCATGTAGTACTCGATGGCTTCGGCCAGGAGTTGCTGGTTCACCTGTCCCACTGGTCTCGCCCTGGCGTCGGCGCTGTGGAACTGGTATGGCTCCAGGAGAGTCATCGTCGCCACCATCGACTTGACGACCTCCTGGAGTTGTTTTAGTTGGGCGTCCATGCTGCTCAGCGTCTCCTTGATAGCGTGCACATCCCGCCTCAGGTCGTCAACGGCGTCCGACTCTGTCGTCGAGTGGTTGGTCTTGCGCTTGATGCGGCGGATGAGGTGCGGTTTGTGCTGGTGGAAGTAGTCATGCTGAAACACGACGCTCGTCGGCGTCTCGGCGACCTTGGCCCCTTTGACAAACCCATAAAAGTTGAGCTGGCGAACGAAGCTCGTGTATTTGCTGTGTTTGAAGTACTGGGGCAGGATCACTCGGGCAAAGTCCGTCGGCGACTTGATCTCAAACGCACTCCCACCATGGCACCACCCACCCATTGATGGCGGGATCGCATGGAGCATGTCGAAGAGCTTCTGGAGGAACATGGGCGCAGCCGCCTTCTTCATGATCTTTTCGGTAATGCGACCGGTCTCTGAGCAGCCCACCGAGTGTGGGACGGCACTGGCGGTGGAATCGCCAATCGCGGCCGCCCCATGATGACTTGAAAAGAAGTGGGCCAATGGAAAACCACGCAAAAAATCCGTTCCACAAACAGCCACGGCGCCGGTCTGAACACTTCGATCTTGTCCTGGCGGCTGCCTAGTGGATGGGCCCCATCGCCGACGGGATGTGGCGCGGGGAGATCGGATGTGTCATCACGTCATGTGCCATGTGGCATACGCATGACTGACGCCCGTCGGCCACGATCGAATGTACCGCTGAACGAAGCAACGCCAGCGCCCCTACATACCGCATGCAACAACCAACTGGTTCAGTGGTCAGCAGGTACTCGCGAGGGGGTGCAAAGTCATCGAGAGGGTTGCGGATCGCCCCCGCCACGTTCGCCTCGCATGCTCGTAGGGATTTCGACGGACATTTACATTTTAACACTGGTAGATCATTGTGTCTGATCCATCGCACTTGACAAACAGCGGCGCCAGGTACGTCGTGTCGAGTGGCTGCAACCCGTGCGACGACGATGTCGGGGCGGCGCCGTCGTCCTCTAAATACTCGAGGGCGTCGATGAGGGAGTTCTGCTTCTCAAGTCGCGGCAGCGCAAGCGGAAGGGATGCTTTGACGGGTGCTGTCGGGAGGGGGGCCATCGAAGAGACGAGCTGAGCGAGTTGGCCGAGTTGTGCTGACAGCGCCGAGAGTGTGGATTTGATGTCGGAGACTTCGTGGCGCAGCTCCTCGACCTCGTCGACGGTCGACCCGTCGCTAGCGATCTCCGTGTAGTTTGTTTTGCGCTTGATCTTGTTCATCAGGTGCGGTTTGTGCTGGACGAAATGCTGATGAAAGAACGTCAGGCACGTCTTCGACTCATCCGTTTCGTGCGCCACCAGGAGCACTTCCTTTTTGCACTTTTGAAACCCGTAAAAGTTGAGTTGCCGCACAAAGCTCGACAACTTGCTGTGTTTGAAGTACTTGGGGAGCATAAGGTGGGCAAACTCTTTGGGCTTTTTTATCTCGAACGCGGTGCCGCCCTGGCACCACCCGCCAATGCTGGGCGGTGTTGTGTGCATCATGTCGAATAGCTTCTTTAGGAACATGGCGCCAGACGGAGAGGGAGTCGAGGCGGCCGCCGATGGCATCCTGTACAGAGTCGCGGAATTGCCAGAATGACGCATGGCACAACACGACGGTGGCATCGCACTTAAATGGGTCGTGTCCATGATTTTCCTTGTGTTATCGGTGGATCTCAATTTAGCCTCTCGTTGCATTATGCCATATAAAATCCATGAGGAAGGTCTCAATTGAGACAATTGACCTCAAATTCGACATGCAGAGTGTAGGTTGGACACTCCACACAACACTTCTGTGGACAGTCGACTCGCGCAATCCTGTTCGATTTCTTTATGCCATTTCCCGCCGTCAAGGGCCTCGTGGGGTTGTACAATAGGGGCGCTGAGCGACGACGCTAAACAGTACGGGGGTGTCTGGTCTCACGAATAGGGTGGACGCATGTCGTCCATGGTGGTGAAGCCAGTCGCGTGATTGTGCAGCCCTATCCCCCCATAAGCAGGGTCCGTTCCATTCGTACTTAGCACGTCCATGATGTGATCAAATTGGGTGGCACGCGCCGTGAGTACGCCCATGTTTCGTGTACCAAAACGACATGTGCTTCGAATTTCCATCTGGGGCGATCGCCCATGCGCCAGACGAGTTTGTGTGGTTGGAGTGTACCGTACGTATCTTGCGCTTTTCGCTCGAATGAAGTGGACATTTTTTCATGATGTAATTGCTTATACAAGCATGCACATTGCATAGTAATTCCAAGATATTGTTTTTTGTAGAGATTGCAATGCCATAAATATTACAGAAAAAACTCCCATTGTTTTTGCGACGGCTTCAATTGGGTGTCATTGGCACAAGAGACATCTCAAGAAGGTGAAAATACTGTTGGACTTAAATACGACGTTGGCATGCGCGGCGCTCTACTAGCACGCGCTCATGGGCTGCAACGGGCCGTTCAGGAACTCAAATCCCTGGCTCAAAGGCTCCACGCACTCGATGTCGTCAAGATAGTCGAGCACGTCAAACAAGGACAAGCTGTCTTCGGCTTCGACTGACACGGGCTGCTGCTCCTGCACTGGGCGCGCATCTTCCTGCACCACTTGGGCGACTAACTGTGAAAGCTGGGAAATTTGGTTGGCAAGCGAAGCAAGGGTGACCTTGATTTCAGACACCTCGTGGCGCAGCTCTTCCACTTCGTCCACGTTCGACGGCTCGTCCGACATGTTTCCAAGCTCCGAGTAGTTGGTCTTTCGCTTGATCTTGGCCATCAAGCGCGGTTTGTGCTGGTTGAAATGGGGGTGGTGAAACACGACCGACTTGTGCTCGCTCTCATGCTCGATCAGGAGTGCTTCCCGTTTGCACTTTTGGAATCCGTAAAAGTTGAGCTGACGTGCAAAGCTCGAGTACTTGCTGTGCTTAAAGTACTTGGGTAGCATCAGGTGGGCAAACGCGTTGGAGTTTTTGATCTCGAAGGCGCTGCCGCTTTGGCACCACCCGCCAATCTCTGCAGGCGTCGAGCTCAACATGTCGTGCAGCTTCTTGAGGAACATGGCGCCAGAGCTGGAAGCGGTGGACGCTGCCATGGAATGTGATCGGTGTTAGTCTCAATCGAAAATGACTTGGATCGATGTACAGCGAACGACATGAATGTGGTTGCGATCAGGTGCGAAACAGTTGGAAGATCGCCACATGGCAAAAAGGCGCGGAACCACACCATGATTAGACCGCCCCGAGAGCCGCAAAGCCTATGCATCCGGCCAGGGTGCCGACATGGCCCCCGAAACCGGTTCCATCGTGAAGATACATTTCGTATGCTTTTTCCCGCCACGCCAGCAGTGTATGGTTGAAGCTCCAGCCCTCCCAACCCACGCCAGGCGATGACAGTACCAGTTCCTGGGCTCTCGACGACGCTATGAATGATGGTCCGACCTGGACACCGTGGGTGTCCGAATTGGCTCCACAGCGGAACAATCCCGACTGTCTACCCAATGTGATTCTACTGGACTGTGGCAGTGGAATGTGTATTCCACCGCGAACTTTCCTGGCGAAATCAAGCACGGTCGATCGTTCCATCCATATGGCCACCATGGCCAATGTTTGCTCTATTTTCCAAGCGTGCTGTGCCTAACGATGCCGAGAGAGTTTCGTAGAGCACCTTCAAACTCCCAGCCAAATCGATCCAAAACCACCTGCGAAATCGCCCGACTGCCGCCACCTGTCCGATCAACATTCCCCACATATGAGTCCCCAAAAGTTGACGACACGAGGGACATAACACAATCGTGACTCGCTTAAGTGCGATCAAACCCCCCAAAGTGCCCTCCTGTTATCCTGCTCCAAGGTTTGTGTGCTCGAACGAGGTGCTTCGACTCGACCGTGCATGGCGAATCGATCGACTGGCGGTGACCTGACTTGCCAGGGTGCATGTGACTGGTGGTACTTCACTGGGTGCCAAGATTCCATCTCTATAAATTTTACAATATTCTACGGGCACGGAATATATTATGAAATTCACAAAATCGTGCGAATATTCGTTCATGGAAACGCAACAAGAATACTATGCATCTCGGTTGCACCCAACCCACGACCGGAAGGCCGCCCGTAGCTTTAAAACGCGTTCTCGAGCTAGCCACGACGCAGTTAGCGCATCCTTCGCTTGCTTGGCAACGCGCTCGAATGTCTCCTACGCATCGACGACGAATCGATGTGTGTCAAGAATGCCATCGGCACACCGTTTGACTGGCCATGCCGTTGCTTTCCTACCACCATAGACAATCGAATGAACCCTCGTTGGTGCGCTAGCGATATTCCTGGAAATGAATATTTCGCCCTCATGGAAACACCACCACGCTTTCGAGGTGCTGGATGTAGCTGATCGATCCTCGCTCGGACGTGATGGTTCATTGTGTCCGAAGGTTTTCGTCTCGAGAAATTGCAAACAGCCAAAGTGATTCCAGTCGCGCGACTGCGACGGATCCACGTCCATGACGATCGCCACGAATGGACAACGCAAAGGAGGATGTGATGCTGTGCAGCACCCCAACCAACAATTTCATGCAGTGCAGATGAAGCAAGCTACCCCCCGCCGTCACTATGTTGCTGTTGGTGGCAAACGGCTGGTCATGGCCAAGTTGTACCACAACGCGAGGTCGCGACTCCAGCTAGACTTCACTCCCCACGACAACGACCCGAACGGTGTCCTCTTCATGCTCGTTTTGATTGCCTTGTTCGCATGGGCCTGTCCACCAAGGCTGCTCGAACCAACGTGAAGCGTTTATTGTGGGAACAACCTTGTTCTAGTGGAAGACCCCAAGCACTGCCTACCAGCCAAGTCCAAAGCGCGATGTTTGTGAAGAAGATGCATGACTTGATGCACAACACACCCCCGCACATTGCTGGATGGTGTCCCGACGGTCAAGCGTTCTACATCCAGTCCCCTCTCGAGTTTGAACGCGTCGAGCTGCCGCAGTACTTTCGCGGCAAAAGGTACGCAAGCGTCGTTCGCCAACTCCATTTCCATGGGTTTCGTCAGCTTGCCGGTCTCCGCGACATGGAGCCGGCACTGTTTTCCCATCCGCACTTTCGGCAGGGCGCCCGCCACCTCTTGGTGCATGTCATGCGCGTGACCACTACGGAAGATGGCCCAGATACGACCAAACAGGTCTGCTTTGAGAATGCCCTCGGTGACCTCCGCCACGACATTGACGAAATCAAAACGACGATGGCATCGCTCCACTCGCAACTGTCTCGCCTAAGTCGTGTTGTTGCGGCCAAGGCGGCCATGCAAATCACTTCACCGGATCAATCGCAAGTCGTATAGCTGGTGGATCCAAACGTCCATGTGCAAGTGCTTTCGTGTCAACTTTAACGCGCAATGGGTTCGACTTTCTCTGAGCGTTGCTAACATGATGTCGCCTCTGTTGCGTGCTAAACACTCCCCCCGCACCGTCGGTAGAGCTGCAACTGTCCTCGAAAGAGAATGCACACTTGCCGCATCGCCATTCCACGGGAAAATCTCGCTGCGTTTGGTCCATGCAGCATCTCGATCGTTTTGCTGTCGACAACCTCAATCGACCCTTTCCGAGTTGCGATCCACAAAGAGTAACATAATGAGCAATGTCCACGTAGCATGGGTGGGTTGGTGCCTTCTTTGGCCAGCTTGGTCCTTTGGATTTGAATAAACTGCACTTCTGCGCACAGGTTGCTCGTCTCGATCAAGCTCCAATGTCGAATCTAGACAAGCAAGATCCAGTGCTGCCGGTGGGTTGTCACCGATCATTGCCGTGGTGTGGGGCATGTTGCGGTGAAAGAACTACTGGCGGCACTTCCACACAGGTTTTGACTGCCGCTTCCGGGCTTCGGAACATGGGAACACGATAAAGATGAGCTACCGCACAAGGTTGTAGACGTGTCGAAAGTACCTGGGCCGCATGGTTGCGGCAAAAACATTGTGCTGGACGAACGACTCGCCGTCACGGTTCCAAGATGCTGCGAGTGGCGGACATGCGTCGGTCATGGCGCAAGTCTTGCAGAGGCAGTGAAAAGTACGTCCGCCCTCGATGGCCCTTGCTTTCCTTATATATTCGGGTCAAGATGCCGCGTTTTCTATCTGGCAAGTCCCCTGGCAGTTTGTTCTCACGCCCTTCCAATGACGAAGACACTTGCTACCGTTGGCCACATTCCATGGCTACGTTGGACAACTGAGTTTCGCTCGAGGAAGGATCGCCCAGGGCCTGGTTCGTGTGGATTCGCACCATACTTATGGACAACACTCACGGTGCTGCTTCCATGTTGGTCCAAGGCGATGCGAATTCACGATGTCGCTCTGCTCTATCAGGATTGGAATTTCTGTCGACCAAGAAGGACTGAAGGCTCCATTTGTACGCGCAGCGTTTGAACTCTGCCAACTTTGGCCTGGTGTGTCTGATCAAACGCGCGATTCGCGACATGGTTGATGTTTATGCGTCCTCGGCGTCAAAGTCTCATGGGCATGGCGGCACGACGAAGGGCCATCTTATCTCGCCTTGACGCGACTGCCCCTGCTGCCCATGAAGCACATGACATCCGAAGTTGCTCGGAGTCGCCGAGTGAGTTGGGTGACAATACGTTGTGTACGACCCACTGAATCGTGCCGAGTTTCTGGGGAATACGAGCGTTACTACCTCCACCTAAAGTCCTCGGCTCATCATTTGAGACCGTACAGTACACACCAGAGAGCACCAACTACACCAAGCGCGCATCCTCCTCGGTCCAAGCATGAGACTGGACCCCCCATGTGGTGCCGCGCTTCCCTCGCGATGGGAATGGTGCATGACGCTGCACTTGTTTGTTTGCTTTTGCCGCATACGACACATGGGGTTCTCGGGCTCCCCAAGGGCAAACCTCTCACCAACAGCGAGAGATGGATTGCATACGTTTTCTCATATAAATTTTCAGCATCTGAGGCGTGGTGGGAACTTTGATCAAGAGAGCTGGTGCCATTGCCCAGGTACAACGACAGGCAGTCTGGACCAATAAGATATCGAGGACAACTTTCTGAACCAATCCAATCGATCCCCAAAAATGTTTTGCTGTCAGGACTTTTATCGGATTAGTCAATGGGTGACTCGTATTTTAACCAATCCAAATCGTGAATCAGAGTTATATGGATTGGATTGGCAGATAAAGAATGGTTCCAACCAATCCAATCGGTCCGTGGGTCGATTGGCGTCCCACTGTGGGCAGTCTACCTTGAACCGTTTAACAAACTCGGAAAACCTGTGGGATCCTACAGTTGCTGACGGCGATGACGAAGGGCGACGGGTCGTGGCGCGAGGATGGGCCACAATTGAATCGACTGTGTTGGCGCGACGGACGGCAACGCGATGAATCCGCGACGAAAGGTTAGCTCCGCCGCGATCTTCCTCAAGAAGACATACGACATGATCAACACAGCGCCAGCCAACATTGCAGGGTGGAGCGACAACGGGGGATCGTTCGTCGTGCGCGAGCCCAAGGAATTCGCCGCCGTGATGTTGCCCAAGTACTTTAAGCACAACAACTTTAGCAGCTTTGTGCGGCAGCTCAACTTTTACGGGTTCCGGAAGACGAAGAAGGAAGTGCTCCTCGTGGCGCTTGAAACCGACGACCTCAAAAACTCGTGGGAGTTTCATCACGAGCTGTTTCATCAGCACAAACCTCACTTGATGGCCAAGATCAAGCGGAAAACCAACTACTCGGAACAGTTCTCCGATTCGAATTCGAACGGCGACGACATCGATGAACTGCGCAACGAAGTCGGCGACATCAAGGCCCACCTGACCAATTTGAGCGACCAAATTGCGAGTCTCTCGCGGCTCGTCCACAGTGTCTGTCATGACTCGCTGAAACGAACGCGCGACGACGCTGGAATTCAGGACCAGTTTGAACAGTCCCGGTCGCTGCCACAACGCCGTCTCGACGAGACTCAACAGTTCATCGAGAATCTCCAGTACGTTGACGTGATCCCGTTCGAGATGGCCACCAACTACAACAACCCGACGGCTGACATGCAACTGCGCCAGGCCTTGCTTGACGCGTTCATTTACCCGAAAAACGAAGACGAGCATTACAAAATTGCTCTGTAGTATGGGACTCCCACATATGTGGACAGCTAATTTATTCATGGTTGTTTGGCCGTTCTCCCGAAGCTCTGCCGTAGCGCAACCCAACCTCGATGGATTCCAATCAAGGAGGCAGCATCTCGTCCGCGCTTTTCGCATGTGACAATGGGGTATGCACAGCATCCCGGCACCAAATAGATTCGTCGGCTTGATGGGTCCGCCGACAGCCGCACCCCACAGGTCAGTCGACGTTCACCCCTCTACTGCCACGGCGACAGCGTCCAGGTGGCGATACTCCCACCACCAACGAGCGGACAGCAACCCGTGGAGCTGTCGAGCCGCGCCAAAGGAGCTAACGCGGCCGCGCGACGCGCCATTCGGACGTCCCACTGCAGTTAACGATACCAATCATGGCAATGGTGGGACCGGTGAACTTGTCGTTGGACGTCGAGGATTGCGCTGGCGAGAGCAATCTGTCTGTTTCCTCGAAACTCTGAGTAGTGGGAGGGGAACTAGTAGTACTTTAGTACTGCTGTAAAACTGGTGAAAGTCTATATGACAGTACTTCGAGGTATATTAATTCGTAAAGGTATCATTTGTGAGTTTCGTGCAGGATGGAGGAGCGCGAGAGGCGAGTGCTAGGTCAGGCGAGTCTGCAGATCGCCAGCAGCATCTTCACCGACCAAGAAGTCGCGGAGCAACTCCGCCTAGATGTGCAGAAGCGTGCAAGCAAGGTACGAGACCAAGGCGTGTTTGCTTACACGGTAAGTGCGATAGAAGTCTTTTCATGGAGTCGGTCACAGGTCCTTTCATGTTCAGCAACCCATGGCCCCGACGCAAAACATCAACAAGGGCTTCCTCCTCAACACCATCAAAAGTGTTGACACGCATAACCAGCGGCAGGTGCGATCGATCATCTCAAGTATGGCAGAGCTGAGATTGGTTTGAAATGCAGGAAGTCGACGCGTGCTATCGCAAACGACAGTTGGAAAAGCGGCTGCACGCAGACTCTCGAAGTCATCGACGACATGATTCGAGGAAGCGATCGCGATCGAATGAGCGACCGGTATCTCGAGACATGAAGGAAACACGAACTAGCGAGGATCATGACAACGAGCGGGAGTTCTGGGCGGCGAGGAAGGCGCTGAAGACCCAGGCCATCTTGGACCAAGTCGGCGAAAGAGTGTGTTCGCTTGAGAATGCACCTGGTTACGACAGCTCGAGTCCCGACGAATTGGCCAAAAAGAAGCAGAAAAAACTCGCGAAAAAGGCAAAGAAAGCTACAAAGAAGCTCAAAAAGAAGCACAAGGCTCAAAAGAAGCAAGCGTTGAATTAATGGGACCACGGAATGTTGCTGCCAGACATGATGAAGCTGTCTTCGTGGGTGCCTTCGAGCAAATGCGCGCAAAACTCGCGCTGTTTTTCCGGCGTTAGTTCTGTTTTCTACAAAGGCGTCAACCGTCAAGCGACAAGGAATATTTACGACCTGGTTGGGCACGACAATATTCATTGGGGGCTGCTGGGTCATCTGAAGGCGGCTCTGAAACTCCATGAAGGCTGCCTCAACGATCAAGCGCTCGAGTGGCACAGCCAAGGCAAGCAGGGCCTCTTTGTACGTGTCTGCGGCAGTCGTCCATGCTTTGTGTTGCTAGAGTTGGTCAAATGAATGCAAGTCTACCACTTGTCGTGAAAATGGCCCACCTCTTCGACGTTGGCCTTGGCGAGCCAGTAGATTGCTTTCTGCGGCGCAAGGGGCAAATGCGACGGAATATCGGCAAATACGACGCGAGCTCCGGCCAGAGAAAACTACACAATCCCAGATGTCAAGATCATACAGATGGAGCAAAAGATTCACTACTTTGGAGGTGTAGATGGCTTCGTCCAAGTGTTGGCGCAGAGACTCTTGCAGGTGCCGTGGAAAGGTGGGGGTGTCTTGATTCATATTCCTAGAAACTGTCGGCGTATTGAGCGAAGACGGCGACGCTGAAGGGATGGCAGCGCAGGCAGCGACAGTTGTAGCAGCTGCTGGTTCGTCGTCTGGGATAGGAATAGTAGGGCTCTTTCTCAGGACGTTATTGGGGGGGTTGTAAATTGTCGGCGGGGGCTGCTCGATCGAAGCAAGAAGATCTCGTTGCTGCGTGAGGTTGGACAACTCGGAGTGCGTTGCGGTGACGTCTTTTTGTGGCTTGGACTTGAAGTGTGACTTGGCAACTTCTTGAACGGTGGACGCCTGGGGAGACTGAATTGAAGGCACGTCTATTGAACGGTGATAGGTGTCGGCAGGTAGAGCAGGTGGCGTTTTGGGCTTCTTAAAGTGTGATGACGGAACTGTGGCACTTGATGCTGGCTTGGCAGGCGTCGTGTCATGTTCGAGATGAAGGCGACTCTTGAAATGCAACGACGGCGTCTGGTTGTTCTGCGTCGATGTTGCCACACTACTTGCAAACGTAGAAGGAGGAAGTCGGTCAGTTTCATCTTGGTTTTCCTCTTGCGGGAAAGACGGCGGCTTGAAAGACAAAGCTTTTTGAGCAGACCCTCCAGTCGGTGTCTTTTTCGCTTTGAAGTGCGACAAGAGACCGGGAGGTTGACTTGACTTGGGCTTGCGAGGGGGCGTCGAGTCGAACGTCAACTTCATCGGACCAAACGAATCGGTGTCGTCGTCGAGCATGCTTGCAGCGTTTGGGATGGATGTGGGAGGCTGTTGCTCGGTAATATGGGTAGGCTCTGTAGACACATCCAGTGTCTTCGTTGACTTCCTCACCACGTTGAATGACGAATGTGCAGACACTTTTGGTGCGATCGCGGATGGGACTCCAGGTTTGACCTGACTTATGTTTGAGGTACGTCGAGGCACGATGGTCATACCTGCATGGAGGAAGTCTGAGGAGGATGAAGGACTTTGGATTCACCAAATGGATCACTCCGCTCATGACGCGAAGTCATAGCAGGTGCAGGTGGTGCACTGGCTTTGGCTCTGCTTAAGCGATCCATCGTTACCTTGCTCATTCCAGTCGATGTAAAGTGGCTCGTTGGACGCGACGATGTGATGGACGGCTTGGAAGCATCTACTCGTCTTGATGCGAGGTACTCTGTCAGCCTTTCTCGGCGGCTATCTCTGGATGCAGTGCTGAAGTGCGACGTAGAGCTTCCCGCGGACGCATTGCTCGCCATCTCCATCAAGGGAGCAGTTCAAATTTCAAAAAGCCGGATATCTGCCAGCCAATTTATCCGGATAGCTAGGTATCAAAAGGCGAATAACTCTTCCCTTCTTTTGTGAACTTTTGTGAAACTCCCATGGCTAATTCGCGGCAGAGCACCGATCATCATGTGTGCGTTGGGCGACGGCGCTCATGGAGACTACATCGTCTGCGCTCATGCGACAGGTGAATGACAATGGGCAGAGCTTCTCTTCGATGTGAACATTTCTGTGCATTATGTTAAAAGTCTATATCAAATTTAGCTCAGACATTGACGTAAGGATAGATTGCATTCTTGTACCACTTCATCGAACGAGAAAAGATGGACCAGGGACCTCGACACAGCATCTCGGTTCCGTTCCACGCATTTTGGACCTTTCGAACAATCGTTCGACTCGACGAAAGAATGCTCTGCAATCAGTTCGAGATGGGTTCAGTATTGACACTTGTAGACGCATCCAAAGATGCCATACAATATATAGTAGTAATCCTTAACTCCTAAGTCAACGATGCTTTAAATGTCATCATCTTCATCCGGGATGGGGGCGTTGACGGCAGCAGCCAATTCCGCTTCCAAGCGTCGCTTGTGTTCTTCGTCAATGACGACCTCAGGCGGAGCAATGGCGGCGGCTTCTACAAAGGTCAACGAGTTGTCGCCGACCAACTTGCGCGCCAACCACAAAAACGGCTTTTCAAATTGGTAGTTGGACTTGGCCGAGATGTCAAAGTACTGGAGGTTCTTCTTGCGGTGGAACGTGATTTGCTTGGCCTTGACCTTGCGGTCCTTGACTTCCACCTTGTTGCCGCACAGCACGATGGGAATGTTTTCGCACACGCGGAACAAGTCACGATGCCAGTTGGGCACGTTCTTGTACGAGATTCGCGACGTCACGTCGAACATAATGATGGCGCATTGCCCTTGGATATAGTACCCGTCGCGCAATCCACCAAACTTTTCCTGGCCAGCGGTGTCCCAGCAGTTGAACTTGATGGGACCAAAGTTGGTTTCAAACTTGAGCGGGTGGACTTCCACGCCCAACGTGGCAACGTACTTCTTTTCAAACTCACCCGTCAAGTGGCGCTTGACGAAGGTGGTCTTGCCGACACCACCGTCACCGACGAGAATCAGCTTGAATTCAGGCATTTGAGCGGCCTATCGCACACGGACACATAAGACGCTGATGCGGCATTTGACGAGAGAATCCACCACACGTACCATCTTCACGGACTTGCACTTGGCGCGGCAGGAACAAAAATGATCGCTGTGGGGACAGAGGCCAACCACATAACCCTTGTCTCGAACCCATACAAATGCCAAGTACACTCCCGGCCAGACAAAAGAAGCCTTAACGCCATTCACCAGACTATACAAAACCCCATATATTCCCCTACTGGCGTTAACCCTCAAATCATTTTCCTGCCACCCGTCCCAGATATCCCCTCGAGCCAATCACAACCACGCACGGGCAATCAAAAAGGCGCTTAACGTACGTTGATCTTCTACTCACTAACGCCCATATTATATTCCTGGCCACCCACATGATCCACCAATCACAAGCCGAGTAGTTCAAAACAGATCTTAACGCACGAGACTAAAGATTGGCGGCCGAACGACACGAATGCTACGAGAAGGGTTGCTTTCGATGCCGAGCGTCCGCCACAACGGGCGCTCCGTTGGGAATGTCGCTTTCATGGACACTCTCGGCGGCAAGAGAGGTTTCGTTCGATGTTGAATCGTTCAGGAATGCATCAGCCAATCAAATGCCTCTATTTCAAATTCTCGCGCGCGGAGACCTCACAGGACTGACAGGACGAGGACGACGAAGTACCACGCGACAATGGGAAGGACGATGGAAGCATACGAGAAGGCACGCCGATGCAATGGGAGATGGAGATGATGCAGTCTGCCCAGTGCCAAGTATATGACGGATGCCACTCCAAGCCACGCGTACCCGAGGTATATCCCCATTTGGTCGGGGAGAGCGCACGTGTGAATGTGCATTGGTGGACTCGTACGAGGAGATCCTTGCAGCGACAGCAAGGACACTTCGGGATTTCGCTCTCCCTGGAGCCAGCTGAACGTTGCAAGCGAGTCCTCGGTAATGTTGTACGCGCCATGGTGGTATGTACAAGGTGTGTGATCGTCGCCACTATTAATCGTCAGGCAAGGAACAGCGAATATGAGATGGACTACCTGAATACGTGGATTGGTTCCACCGCGTCAATGATCATTTTCGTCAGTTCTGGAGACAGAAGATTCTCATATGACACCCCACGACCCTACCGATGGGATCAGTCGCGGATGCGAATGGTGAGGACGAACTGGAGCAATCGGCGCTTTGTTTCGCCTGGGTCCGCAAGATGAGTAGGGCGGCCGATAGAGAGGTATGTGGGAGAAGAGTATTCGAGGAAACTGCCGCTTCGCCTTCATGGAGCCATACGTTGTGACAAAATCGATGGCGGCTTTTTGGACCAAAGGATCGTTCGAGAGCATCCCGACAGCATCCACGACCTACAGAGCGCCACAACGGTCATGACGTTCTTAAAAGAGAGACCTCTCCAGTTACCACAACTTCTATGTGACCCAGCACGACAGTGTACTGAGTCAGACCAAACGTGTCCTGATGGCGGGCGTTCGCGCCAGGCGAATTCCACTGTCGGATGCCCACGTCATGGTTGCCGCTGTCCCAAGCATGAGATAAACCAACAACATAGTCAAGTGCACACCTCATGTTCCAGAATTGAATCTTCGGATGTCCGCCGAAGATCCACTCGAAGCGCCTCTGATGCTTCGCATGCTCGGCAGTCGAGAGCACGCGTCCTGGTCATGTGGATCAAGTACATCCCACTCAAGATAGACTCGACTAACCTCCGTCGAAGAGATCACCGAGAAGCAACACACCGTGCGGAGGGTCCGCCTTGCGCGCGAGCAGTTGAAAGTGCCGCCGCATGTACAAATCCGAGTAGAACTCGGTGAGCCAAAGCACCCAGCTTCCCTTGACCATGTCGTACGAGTAAAAGTCGGTCAATTGGGGGTCAGCGATTACAGCGAGATGGTACTCTTTGTGGTCCCCGTATGCCCAGGTGCAGGACTTGAATGCATATCGACTCGCACCAAGTTCTCCCCAAGTAAAGACCACGGCCCACACACCCCACAGAAACGGTGCTCGGATCCGCCACCGCCATCCGTTGTGAAGGCTCTTCTTTTTCCCCGAGCTGTCCTTCGTCTGTCCATCTTCGAGGTCCAAATTGGAAGGTGATGTCGGATCTGCGGCAGCCGATTGACTCCGGAAGCGCGGCATTTCCGTCCAAGATGCGTTTTATATAAAACCACAGCGAGGTAAATATGTTTAACTCTGTCAAATTCGTGCTGATGGCACTCGGGGCCACTACAGCGCCGCTTCTCGTCCTAGACGCTCGCCATGCGCAACAACGTATAACTGCAGCTGACGGTATGCATCGCGTTCTCCAGGGCGATTGCTGGTATGAATCGAGTGCAGGCATCTGCAAGTTGCTGCAATGGAACCTCTCGCGGGACCGACCGTGCGAATACCGTGCTTGAAATGGGCCACGCCCCAGACATGTCCTAAACTGGAGAAAGCACAAGGTTCATACATAACTTGGATTGCGCTTGGTTAATCTATTGATACAATGGGTCAGGATGTTGAGTCGGCAGTAGGTTGAAGCGCTTCTTCGTCGTGATGCGCTCCTTAGAGAACTTGTCGTCTGGGGAGAAGCGCGCAGGGTGTGCCGAGTGCGACGGCTTTCCAGTCGGATCTTCCTTCTTGAGCGTGTACACGCGCTTGCCGTCGGCGCCGGTATAGTACATGAGGTGCATGGTCGACTGCCTAAGATTGGAAGAATGGCACACCACCAACCACCGCGCCGTGTGTATCCGGCATTTCCGGATAATACCATTGTGCCAGCCAATCAATAGTGGTTCACGGATTAAAATCAAACGCTGAGTATGGCATACAATTCTCAAGTTTAAACGTAGTGGTTTTTCTGTTGAAAATGACGTGGCACCACCACAGGCGATGACTTGTCTATTCTTGGAGCACACGATGGTGGACCCGACAAGCGGGAGCCCGCCGCGGCCGTTCCGGTCGAAGGTCATCGAAGAGCTGACGCGGAGACACGACCTGAGCAACGACTTGACCCCGTCCGTGTGTTTTCAAGTTCTCCAGTCGTTGCTCCCGTCCTCGCTTGTCGTCACCATGTGTGCCGAAATGAACCGCTTCATCTACAAATCCCCGCACGACGATGACAACAATCACACATCGAATACCGCCAGCAACCCCAAGACGCTCTCTGAAGGCGCTCAAGTCCCACACAAGGACTTGTACTTAGGTCTCTTGGCCCACGTGGAAGACAAAGAGCAGCTGTGCGCCGGCCTTCGACGCCAATTGCGCGAAAAAAGGCACCAAAATAACACGCTTGCAGGCGAAATCGCCAAGTACCAAGGCTTGGTTGAGGAGCACTTTGCAGCGTTCAACGAGCAAGCGTGTTTGAATGCGATAGCAACTCTCAAGCACCGCCGCGTTTTGCGCGAGCGCCAGTGCACTGGTATTCGTGTAATATCTGCATCAACGACTGAGTGTTGCGGCAGGGCTGATGAAAGCAATCGATGAAAAGCAAGACCGACTCATGGAGCAGGAAAAGCGCATCAAGGAAGAGCTCCATCGCCTTCGAATGGACGACTGCGCCTATCGATTGAACGCAAAAAAGTTCAAGGAGAACCAGCAAATGCTAGCATCGGTTCGTTCATGCCCTTACTCGTTGCTGGAGTTGCTCAGGAAATCATAGATGCAAGTCCAGCAACGACCAGAATGGACAATGCCTTCGGAAAGCGAGCTCAAAAGCCAGATCAAATTGCTCCAAGCAGACATTGCAGTCAAACACCCCAAGCTCCACGACCTGTCGACGCAAATCTTCGCAGTGCGGGTACCTTCCTTCAAGAGGGGCACGACATTTTTCATCAGTTGTGCAGTTTACTCGAGCAGGATTGGAAAGTCAATTGCGTGATGTGGAGAGCAAAACGGAAGCAATTCAAGCAAGGGTGGCGGCGTACCAGATGAGTCACACGCCGCGCCCGAACTGGGAGGAAGTCCGAAAAGAAGTCGAGTCCACATTTCGATGCCACAACATGGCGGGGGAAGCCAACGTCTCGACGACAGAGCTCATGAAACTGCAATCCTCGGGGAATCGAGTCGAGTACTTGGCCACAGCCATCGAGCTCATCGGGCTGTCCCAAGATACTGGTGAGTGCCGAGTATAGAAGGGAGAGAAGCATCAAACTTGTCCTTTTAGACGCAATCGATCGAGAAAAGCGAGTGCTGCACCACCTCCATGTTCAGATTCGAAAGATCGCGGGTCTGATTGCGACTCGACGCCAAAGCATCACTGCTTCGTCGCAGATGCTCGTCAAATTGAGTGCACACAACTCCGTGGGTGAAGCAACATCACCTCGTTCTGTCAGTCCTGCGAAACTCTCGAAGGCATTATGATTCCTTACGACTTGGGTTTCGACAGATGTAACACGAACACGTTGTCGCTTCTGCACATCGCACGTCGCTCTTGCGCGAGTTTGTCGAGCTCTGCCTTGATATCCGTGATCTCACCGAGATTATCTTGTACGCATTTGAGCAACTCTGCCATTTTGAGCCCCGGTTTCTTCTTCGCTGCCGTCTTCCGCTTCGCCGCGCTCTCTTTCCTTGGCGCCATTCTCCCACAATGACTATACTCGGAACTCCGAATACCCACTCGTTATCCGGAAATTCCAACATGCCTGCATGTGTGCGCACCTGGCACGCCGGTGCCTGTTGCGCCGCAGTCGCGGCCGCGTACCTTTCCTATGCCGCGGCTAGAGTCCTCTCCATGCACGCGTGCGCATCTTTCGTGGTGGTGGTTGTGGGGTATATCTCGTTCTCCTCACTTCTGCACATGGTGTTCTATCGCCACATGGAAGACCATCGCCGCTCCATCCACCACACGACATTGGTTTCGTTCAATTTGTTGCTGGCGGCGACGTATGCCATGGCGGCAGCAGAATTGCATGTACGTGGTCGAAGTGCGATGGTATTTGACGCGGAGTGGCCGTCTTGGAAGACCATCGCTGTCCAGGTGGCGCTAGCCATCCTGGGAGCGAACTGCGTCGAGTACTACTGGCATCGTCTGCTGCACACGCGGTTCCTCTACACACGGGTGCACAAAGTGCACCACTACTACAAGCGCCCTCGGCCCTTTGACGACATGTACATGCATCCTGTTGAAGGCGCCGCGTATTTCTTCATCCTCTATGGCCCTCCCTTCGTCATGTCCATGCACGTCGTTTCCTTCGTCATCTACATGATGGTCATGGGTCTGTTTGGGGTGATGGATCACTCTGGTCTATCGTTTCGCATCCCACTGGTGTACACCTCTAACGACCATGCGACGCACCACGCCAAAGTACATTTCAACCTCGGGTTCCCGCTTCCGTATTGGGACATCCTCCACGGCACTCACGATGGCGACTTCGCCGCACTCTCAAGCCAGCAAGTGTGAAGGTGCTTGAATATCCCGTTTCGTTCGTCTTGATCTTGCGAGTATCGTTGGAGGTGTGGTGGCGGCGTTCGTCGCCATCTTTTTAATCCTCCTTAGACGGCAGAAGTCGTTGAGAGCCGCCGCCAAGTCGCTCCAGCACTCGGGTGGGGTACTCCAAAAAGATGCGATTATTTTTTTTCGACGGTTGAGCGGCGGACTCCACTTCACACGGCCAACGACTGCTTAATTTTGGTGGAGTCTTGCCGGTTCGACCTGGGTGACACATCATGCAACAGACGTTGACAGATTATTTCATGAACGCAATGATGTCGAATTACGACATTTTACAACTTTCCACGACGACCGCCAGCCGAACGGGAACCAGAACGTGAAGCTGAACGGGAAGCTGTACGGGAAGCTGAACGGGAAGCTGAACGGGAGGCCGAACGGGAACGTGAAGCTGTACGGGAGGCCGAACGGGAAGCTGAACGGGAAGCTGTACGTTTCGCCGCAGTAGGCGAAGCACGCTTAGCAGTTTTAGCGGCTCGCTTGGCCGCAGTGGGTGCACGCTTAGCTGTAGTCGGAGATCGCTTTGCCACCGTCGAGGACTTTCTTGCAGTGGCCGCCTTCTTGGTGCCCGTCGCCGCCTTCTTGGTGCCTGTAGCCGCCTTTTTGGTGCTAGTGGCCGCCTTCTTGGTGCCAACTGCGGACGTCTTGGTGCCTGTAGCCGCCTTTTTGTTGCCGGTAGCCGCCTTCTTGGTGCTAGTGGCCGACTTCTTGGTGCCTGTAGCCGCCTTTTTGGTGCTAGTGGCCGCCTTCTTGGTGCCAACTGCGGACGTCTTGGTGCCTGTAGCCGCCTTTTTGTTGCCGGTAGCCGCCTTCTTGGTGCTAGTGGCCGACTTCTTGGTGCCTGTAGCCGCCTTTTTGGTGCTAGTGGCCGCCTTC